TTTCCATTGATCTTTTCCTTTTCTTTTTTTTATAGCTGTTGTCAAAAAAGTTATCTTCTCTCATAGAGATGTCTCTTTTCTACTGCTAACACATGCAGAGGAATACAACCTATGATAGCCCTCAAGGTTGCCGCAGGTACAGTTCTGTAGGCAAATGCTACTCGCATTTGCACAGAACAGACTCGTTCTGTCTAATTTTGTCATGAGCTTAATATTAGGTAGCTATATCTAAATATCATTAATTATTATGTATTTATACAACAATTATTGGATTCTACTTATTTAAAGTGGTAATTTAATTATTAAATTAGCGTTTTGGATTTTTGTGTGTGTGTGTTTTGTATTGTGTGTGAAAGACAAGTTACATTTTCCTACTATTCTTTATATTTTTTTACTTTATATGCCCTGGGGGGGGGGGGGTTAACCCTCCTAATGTAACATCTTTTTTTCTATACAGTTCCTTTTGATCTCTTTCACTTTTTGCTACTTCTATATTGTTGCTCTTCATGAGTTTTTGTAATCCTAGTTCTTATTGTAGATTCTATAATTTTCTATAAAATAGTAAATTGTATTGTATTTAATCCGTAATATTTTTTCAGGACAATTTGGAAAGAAATAATAATAATTACTTGTGGATTTACCCATATGTTAGGGTATCAACCCCAATATTAAAAAGAAAAGTGAAAGTAGTGGATACTGATATGCAATACATAAAATTTTGCGAACATCTACATCAACCTCCTATAAAAACAAACGTAAGAGGCATTCAGGATCACAAATCCGAACTAACTGCAGGCCATATAATTTTGACTAGACCTCAACCAAATTTAATGTCAAAACAAAACGAGATAAAAAAATCCTATGAAGATAATAATAATTCTATAAACATTTATTTAAAATCGGATGTAGTTGAAATCATTATCAACCCAATCGTCAATAGTACTCAAAAGGAGACCGTTAGTATTCACGAAAAGTTGAAAGACATGATACAAGATGAGATATTTGCAAAGGGATCAAAATATTCAACAAAATGGAAGAAAATTATTGACAACAGCAAAAGTAAATGGCTGAGAATCATGAATATTTTTAGAAAAGATAAATCAGTATCCACTCTGGTTCAGCATCAAAAAAAAGGAAGATATTTTAAATACGCCGACGAAATTTGTTTTTGAATAGGTAAGTATTAACCTTATTTATATTAAATAATATAGTTTTTAATGTGTTTCTTTTTTGATAGGCTGTCAAAAGGTATAAATAAATTATAATGGGAAGTTAAGAAGGTATTATTTGTATATATTTAGAGATATTACGAAAAATATCATTTCTAGGAAGATGATTATGGTCTACAATTACTAAAGCCATCTAATCATAATTTTAGAATTAACCAATTATCACTTGATACTTTCTTCCAACCATCTAGTCTTCCTTATAGCTGTACAGCTCTTATTCAGCTTAGGCTTTATCTTAGCAGCAATCCCAGTTCAACGCCAATTTTCTCCATGTTCTTATTCCCAGTATCTTTAGCTCATGAAGAAGTTCCATGCGTACCCCCCGTACGAAATGCTACGGACAAGAAACTCGAGGTAACACGAGAGCTCTTCCCGTCCGGCATATGGCATGGAGTATGGAGGGACGAGGTAGCTGAGCGGGCAGTACACGATGAACTAATCGAGACTTTGGGGGCATTAAAAACGCGCAGGTCTCCCGAACTGGATCAGATAACACCTTAGCACAAATCTTTCCTGAGCCTTGGAAGATATTGAGGTTGGTACTGCTCCCTAAAGCTGGGATCTTGATACTAGTTATAAGTCGAGGAGGTAAAAGACTACATTAAGGGAACGGTGCTGAAACCTTTGTACAAATCTATTGTAGAATAATTTCGCAAAGAAAATTTTATAATTGGAGGGGTATATATTCCCCCAAAATCGGTAGAACGAATATATAAACAACATTCTTTATCAGTCGAAGATATATCTTAAAGGTATAATCATCGTAAGACATATATATTCTGAGACTTCAATCTTCCAGAAGCTTCATGGGATAGCAATGAATCAGGTGTCTTAGTAAATTGTCCTCAGGGTTCACATGCATTGTATTTAGCAGAGTTTTATGGTTTCATGAATTTTTTCCAAATGGTTAATATTCCAAATGAAAGAAATGTTTTTTAGACTTAGTATTTAGCAATGTTTGTGATTTACAAGTAGCAAAAGTTTCACCGTTATTATCACATAAATTACTGTCTTGTCATTAGAATATACTGAATTTTCTCATGATTTTGTAAACACAAACTATGAAAGTCTCAATAACAATCTTTCAATGATATCTTGGGAAGACAATTGGAATTTGTCAAATTTTGATGATGCTTTAACAGAATTTTATAACATACTTAATCTGTCATTATCATTGTACCAGTCAAAAGATTTAGAACTAATGGTTATCCAAAATGGTTAACTGCCAACTTACGTTATTTAGTTATACAGTAAAAAATTTCTCATAAAAATTATTTGGCTTCCTGTAATCAAGAGGATCGTCCAAAAGGTCTCTAAGTTCAGATATCTCGGTAGTTGGATAACTGAAGATCTATATCCAGACATAGAGATACGTAGCAGAATTGAGCAAACCATAACAGCATTTACTAATATTAGAACCTTGCTAAGCAACAGCAGCCTTAAATTAACGCTTCGATATCGCTTTGTAAAATATTACTTTTACTCCATATTGCTAGATGGTGTAGAAACCTGGACCATAAAGGCCAATGTGATGAACCGATTGGAGGTCTTTGAAATGTGGGTATTCAGAAGACTACTTAAAATTCCCTGGACAGATCACACAACAAATATCGAAGTATTAAATCGAATGGCAGAGAACGAGAATTGCTGTCAATAATAAAAAGAAGAAAAACTGCTTATCTGGGTCATATATTTCGAAATTCTAAGTACCAGTTCTTAAAGCTTATTATGGAAGGGAAGATAGAAGGAAAACGGGGCATCAGAAGAAAAAAAAATACTATGGCTTAAAAACATAAGGGATTGGACAAACCTCGAAGCCCATGCACTCTTTAGAGCCACACAAGATCGAAAGGAGTATGCCAGAATTGTCGCCAACATCCACTAATTGGATAAGAAGAAGAATCAAGAGGATTATGTGATTTTCTGAGAACTTAAAAGATTGCGTAAATATTTATCAAATCAGTGTTAGGATAACACTTATCTGAATCAAATAAATAATAATTTATGCAGTAATCCTAAGTACTTTTGGCAGGTTTGGTGTGAGAATAATATTTTGCATTTAAACGTTGCTAAATGCTGCTATATAAGTTTTTATAGAGGTATTAACCCCTTTTGTATTGAGTTGAAGCTTGGACACTTAAAAAATCAAACATTAAAAACCTAGAAGCATTCGCAATGTGGTGTTACCGACGTATTTTGAAAATATCATGGATGGATCGCAAAACAAACGAACAAGTTCTGGAACTACTAGGAAAACAATGCGAAGTTTTAAATTCCATAAAAATCAGGAAATTGGAATACTTGGAAGACGTAAAATTTCGTGGTTACGCAATCTCCGTGAATGGTTTGGATGCAGTTCAATTGAACTATTCAGGCGAGTAACCAATAAAATTATAATTGCCAGAATGATTTCCAATCTCCGATAGGAGTGGAACTTGAAGAAGAAGAGGTATTAAAAAATATGATATTTCTTATACAATTTGGTTACAAACAGCACAAGACCGATAACTTTGGATACAAACAGACTAGGCCTATTTCCAGCAGTGGGGCTGTTGATATATATACTTAACTGATCATGTTGTATTATGTAAGCGGCATTCTTCAAAGCACAACGTATTTAAAGCTTCGCATTCTCTTTGAAATATTGTTTCTCTTATTTTTATTTTCTGTCAAATATGGATCAAAATAAGATAAAAAATTTTGAATTAATCTATCTTTAGATATTCGATCGACTCTCATTTGTATCCTCTTTACTTTTGTTGCAGATGGACCGATTTAAAGATGGCGTAGAAAAATTGTGCTGGACGTGATTTATCTACTATTTATTCTATCTACTTGGACGAATACTTGGAAAATGTATTCATCATGGTATTTAAAAATGGTCAATCGACAGTTTTTATATGGTGATTAAGATCAAATGTAATTTTATTGCAGAATATCTGTTCTGTTTTAAAAGAAGACAAAATTCAATATGAACTATTGTACAATAAAGATTTTATTTACTTCTTAATTTTTATTAATTTTATTCAGTGAAACTCTTAATTTAATGTGCCAAAGATGTATCAAAGATTTAATATTTCTATATCTCTCGAATTCTCAATTATTCCAAAGGATGTAGTGATGTCAAACAATGACGTTGACTGTGTTTTATATAATAAGGTATTTGAAAAAAGGGAACTTAATTGCTTAGATTTACTCTGAAGTTCTCATGTTTTATGAAATCCCAGAAAAACAAATAAATTTAAATAGAAGGGCTATTAGGGCAATGGTCTCAAATTTATAGAGTACAAGAACAACATAAGTAAGAGGAAAACAAAACATATTGTGTTATCACTTGGACCTGTATCTTCTAGAGAACACGGCCGAGTAAATGACTTATAATTTCGGCGTGAATCATACTTCATCAAACACTGGCGATATGTCACCCCTCTTCTTAAAGTTTCGTCTTCTATTGAGGGTTGGATATTAAAATGGTAATTTTCACTTTATTTATGATGTTCTCCTTCTTCCTCTATCTTTTTTAGTTTCAATTTTATCTTCCACCACTGTATCACTTACAATTTCTGACAAGGAAAAACCCAATTAAATACTGAACAAGGAAATGCTCTAACATCATAATACTTTAGTGATAATATCGTTTTCAAATGTTAAGTAAGAAGTAGTTTCTCATCAATAAAAATGCATTCTACTTCCAACGGTTCAGTGTACCCTAAATTTTGTGAAGAATAAATTAAATAAATAATACACGTATATTTTCTTTTATTTTATTTTACAAAATACTGTAATAAATATCAAAATATATTAACTTGAGCAAATTGGTACACCTGCACAAAAATGTACAATAGACCAGACGACTACTTAAATATTTTAAACATATCTGATTCTCAGTGAAGTATTCGTTGTGTTTTTAAGACTTAAAGACAGATATTGAACACTTTTCGCTAGTATATGTAAAGTTTCCTCAATATATTATAGTTTATTTAAAATTTGTACGACTATTTAAATATTTCATGCATTTCTGATTCTTAACGAATTCTTCGTTGTGTTTTAAGGCTTGAAGACACAGTCCGAACAATTTTCGATACTCTGTCGGTACAGTTGCTTCCATATTTAAATGATACAACCATTCTAACATCTGAAAAATAATAACATATAAATTTACTACGAATTAAAATGGAAAAGACAGCAAATATTTGATTTCACGCAAACAGCGCCTATGTATCTGTTGATACGTATTTCGACCTAATAGGTCTCATCACAACAGTTATTCATAGGCGTTCTCAACGTGAAAGATCAATATTTTCTGTCTTTTAAGAAGCAACACTAAAATGGCTTCGATATGGACGCAATAGCGACATCTGATAATAAATCCGTAAAATAGTTTCGAAACACAATTCAGATTTCTGCTTTAATCTGTGCTTTCTAAAAATTGCAAAGCAAAACAGACGTTGATGAAGGTGTTAAAAGAGACATGGGGAATCTAAAATTTGCATTCCACGACATATCTTTTCAACTAAGCAGAAATCCTTAGCGAATTGGTTTCTTGTACTCGTACAAAGTAGATCCGAATAAAATGAAAAAGACATCAAATATTTGATTTCACGCAAACAGCGCCTATGTATCTGTTGATACGTATTTTGAGCTAATAGGTCTCATCAGAACAGTTATTCATAGGTGTTCTCAACGTGAAAGATCAATATTTTCTGTCTTTTAAGAAGCAACGCTAAAATGGCTTCGATATGGACGCAATAGCGACATCTGATAATAAATCCGTAAAATAGTTGAATAACTGTTCTGATGAGACCTATTAGGTCGAAATACGTATCAACAGATACATAGGCGCTGTTTGCGTGAAATCAAATATTTTCTGTCTTTTTCATTTTATTCGGATCTACTCTGTACGAGTACAAGAAACCAATTCGCTAAGGATTTCTGCTTAGTTGAAAAAACATGTCGTGGAATGCAAATTTTAGATTCCCCATGTCTCTAACACCTTCATCAACGTCTGTTTTGCTTTGTAATTTTTAGAAAGCACACAGATTAAAGCAGAAATCTGAATTGTGTTTCGAAACTATTTTACGGTTTTACTACTAATTCTTACAGGCCGACCACCTCAAGACCCAGAAAACAGAGTATACTTTTTCGAAGGTTTCTGGGATATCCGATATCCTAACCTAAAATTGCAGAAATAGCGGTTTTTCGTTGAGTAAGTATGCCTTCTTGTGGTTGATACGGTTGGATTTTAAGGATAATTTTGATATTAACCTTTTAAGTTCGAGATTTAGGTGGATTTTCGGCATGTGTATTAAAAGGGATGGGTATAAGAAACAATGCAAATAAGCAATTGAGTTTACCTGCTTGTGAACTGAAAGGTGGTTTCTAGGGTTGATTGGGTAAGTAAACTCACTTGCTTAGGGATGTTTGGATTACTTTAATTTGCCTGCTTGCTCTCTTACAAGAAAACTTTGATAGTTTTGAGCACCATTACAATTACATAAAACAATGTCTCGAAAGTGCAGCAGAAGAAGCTGGGTAAATATGAAAAAACCGAACGAAGGAAGCCATATTGGTGGGATGAAGAAATCGAAGAAAAAATAAAGATTAAATGAGATAAATACTACAAACACTTAAATATAAATACTAATCAAACTAAAAACTAATATCGAACAGCCCAAAGAAACGTAAGAGGTGCGATAACTAAGAAGTAAAACGAAGTCTGGGAAAGAAACTGCTCCAGACTAAACACTTACTTGGCGGGTAGCAGAAGCACCGAAAGCTGAAAAATAAGATAAGATAAGGCCCGATAGTAGCACGAGTATGCCAAGCGTACTAAAGAGTAGAAAATCACCAGGCCTTGGCACTATCCAGCTAGTAAACAGCTAGCCAGCCTTTACAAAAAATGTATTAACGGAGAGAGTAAACGGAGGAGTGTAGGACATCGTTTACCACGACAATACATAAAAAGGAAAGTAAAGACGTATGTGACAATTATCGAGGAATCGCAGTCCTTAGCACCATCTCGAGAGTTTACGGGAAACTCATCAAAAAGAGAATGGAAGATGAATTCTGTTATATGGAGGCTGAAGAACAGGCCGGCTTTAGAGCAGGTAGATAAACTATTGACCATTTGTGTACTGTTACCCAGCTTATCAAAAAAAAAGTAGCACGAAATCAACCAATGCACCTCCTCTACGTAGACCTTAAAAAACTTATGATGGTGTGCCACAACAAAAACTCTGGGAAGCTCTCGAGAAAACAAATATTAGTGTAACCTTAATCAAGCCTGTTCAAGACCTCTACAAGAACAACACAAGTAAAATAAAGAAATGTCAGGAGGTATCCAAGGGTTTCACTATCAGCAAAGGACTAAAACAAGGATGCTGCGTGTCTCCTACTTTGTTTAAGATCTACTCGGAGCAAGTGATAAAGACTTTTAAAAGAACATGCAGAAACATGGGAATTCCTCTAAACGACGCAGTATTGTACACATTACAGTTTTGCAGACGACCAGATAGTGATGGCCCAAGACTATGAAGACCTCAAATATATGAACCGTAAACTTATCCAAGAGTGACCACTGAAAGGAAAAAACTTAAAAGCATTAGAAGCAACAGAAATGGACTTTTTGAGAAGAGCGGCTGGAAAATTAAGATTAGACAGAGCTAAAAATGAAAGAATACGAGAAATTATGGGTGTTAGCACAATATAAAAGAGGACATCAGAATAAATCAACTAAGATGGTATGGACACGTCCCAAGAATGAATGAACATAGAATACCAAAGAAAGTATTGAACTGGATACGGCATGGAAGAAGAAAGCAAGGTAGACCGAGATTAGGTTGGAAAGAAGGAATCGATAAAGACATATGGGAGAGGGGAGTTAAAGAAAACCTTTGGAACGACCGAGATAAATGGAAACTGGAAATCAGAAGACGACGTAGAACGTTATAAACGGATTGATTGCCTGCTTGTGGACTAAATAGGGGAGCTTCGAGGAGTTAGTTGGTTTAAAGGTGTATTGGTTTGACGAATAAACTGGCTTGCTGTACATGATTCCCTAATACAAAAAAATAGCAATTAACCTTATGGATTCTAAGGTTCAGTGGGTTTTCTTGCTTCTAGATTAAAAGGGGTGGTTTGTAGCTGTTGAAAGCGTTCGAGGTGTATTGTTTCGATCATTAAACACAATTACTGTATGTAATTGCTTACCATAAGCAATTATTCTTAGGGATTCCAGGGTTTGGTGGGTTTACCTGCTTGTGAACCATCCCTGAAAAGGGATGATTTCTAGGGGTTAGTTGGGTTCGGGATGTATAGTTTTAAGATGGTTGGATTTCGGTTTATTTGATTTGTTGAGGTTTAATAGTGTTGGAATAAGGTTTTATGAGTTTATGATTTCTGAATTTAGATTTTCCGTTATACTATATAATTATATGGTTTGTAGGTTATTTAAAACGAAGATATCGCAGCGAAAAAGAAAGTATCTTAAAACACTTAACGTTATTTAAACGATTTACACATACTTTAATATGGTTATAAAAGTTTCTCGGAGAAAAATTATATTATGATGCTACATAACCTCAAATTGCAATTTTAATTTAGAATATCCAGAAACCGCATGAAATTTGTCAATTTGGAGCTCAGATTCGGATTCGGTGCATATACTGATTTCTGGGTACGAATATTGTCATATTTTATCAGCCTGTGTATTATCACATATATTACTACCACTACACAGAATTTTGACTGCTACCGTTAGCATTGAACAATTCTGAGATCGCATACATGTATGTGATCCTTTTGTACCAGTCTAATATAGCAACAGTACGACTAGATCAGATAGCCAATTCAGAGCAAATAGAGGAATTAGACAAGGATTCGTTTAGTCACCTGACTGATGGGTCTTTTTTCTGTATCAGTGTATCTTTCGCACTAATCATTGAATGGACAACAAAAGGCTATAGCAGGATAAGATGGTGAAATCTGCACTCGACTGGATTCTTATTTGGGATTAGGCACTGGAAAGTACATATTTGGAAATCCCTTTTGCCAAATTTTTAGATCCTCTATCGCAAAAAATGTTTTTCAAAAAAAAATCCTGAGCGATTTTTTGCTTTAAAAAATCTGAAAAAATTCATGGACATGCATTTTAATGCCCAAAATACTCATCTTTTTCAGTTTTTCTTTTACCAAAATTGAGCTCAGTAAAATATTTGAATTTTTCAAAAAATCCTCAAAATTCGAGAAAAAACCACTTTTTGGTATCCTCCCCATATTTTTAGCATATAAACTGAACTATATGTTAATAAATAACGATTTTTGATTTATTTTTTTGTTATTTCCAATAGCTCGATTAGGTTTGGCATTTTCAGACCAGAACATGCTCAAAATATGGCAAACACTCTTTTTTGATATTTTTCCATGTTTTTAGCACGTAAACTCAACTGCATATGAATAAAGAACGATTTTTCATCTATTTTTTTCCGTTTTTTTCTAATAGCTGGGCCATGTCCAGACTGAAACGTACTCTAAACTCGAAAAAACTGCATTTTTCGGTGATTTTTTTCATATTTTAAGCACGTAACCCCATTTAATTCTTACAAATAAGATTTGTGTTTCCCCCTTTATTCGAGTGGATATTATAATTTAAATATTATCATTTATGATTAGACTTTTTTCAGTTTTTAATAATAATATTGAAATTTTATAAAATTACGAAATGTAAAAAGTAAAAAATGTTCAAAATCACATTACAATAATAGGTTTAGTCTTCATCACCATAGTCGTTTATTATTGAGTCAGTATCTGATGTGATAAATAAGTCTGTATTAGAATTTGTTGTTTCCCAGTGAGGTAATACAGAGATAGCAGTGAATTATTTGATTACTTTATTTTACAAAAGTACTAAAAACTAAACATGTGCTACATTCTACAAAATATATTTTACAACTGACATATGACAACCGGAATCACTTATGACAATGTGAGCCAGTGTTGCCAAGTACAAAATTCCAATACTCCTCCTCGATTTGAAATGTTGGAACATGAAAATCGTAACTATTATAATTAACAAAATGATATTACAATTCATATAACATAAATTTTATTTCTTAGATTTATGAAAGTCTCGGTACCTAAAGATTTAGTTAAAATATCAGCTAAATTTTGCTCAGTTGATATATAATCCATTACAACTTCTTTCTTAGAAATTAAGTCTTTTAAAAAATGATTTTTTATATCTATATGTTTTGCTCTTTTCGAATTTTCATTACTGTTAGACATTAAAATTGTACTTTTATTGTCACAGTATAAAATTGTTTTGACAATTACATTAAAATTTCCCAGTATACCCTTGACATTGATTAAGTCTTGAGCAGTTTGTGCTGCTGCAATGTATTCAGCTTCAGCTGTTGATAATGCCACACAGTTTTGTTTCTTTGAAAACCATGATATTGGGTTATTACCATATAATAATATACATCCACTCACACTTTTCCTATCTTTCTTATCTGTTGCCCAATCGGCATCTGAATATCCATTGAGTGTTATCTGGCAATCTGTATTTTTATAATAAGTTAATCCCAGTTTCTTACTTCCTTGTAGATATCTTAAAATTCTTTTTCCAGCATTCCATGTCTCTGTAGTAGGACAATCTAAAAATCTACTCAAGTATGACACTGCATAACTAATGTCTGGCCTACTTGTTGTTGATAAATACATCAGTCCTCCAATTAATTGCCTGTAAGGAATATTAGTTAGAATTTCACTGTCCTCAATGTATTGAAATCCCTTTTCCATTGGAGTCTTCTTTGGTTTACATTCCTTCATATTAAAATGATCCAAAAGTTTTTCTATAAATCTTTCTTGATCAATTTTAATAGTATCTTCTGTCCTAGTAATATTCATACCTAAAAAATTTTTAACTTCCTTTAAATCTTTTGCCTGAAAATTATCTTGTAATAATTTTATAATACATTGAACATCATTATCTTCTCCTATTAATAATATATCATCTACATATATTAATATCCAAACCTTTTTGTTATTGTATAAACAACAATCATACATAGATCTTTCAAAATTATTTTGACTAACAAATTCATTGAATGTATTATTCCATACCTTTGATGATTCTTTTAAGCCATATAAAGCTCTATTCAATTTTAATACTCTTGAGTTTTTTATGGTAAGTCCTTCTGGTGCATAAATATAGACATCATTCTCAAGTAATCCATTTAAAAATGCAGTTGGAATATCCATTTGTCTGATTTTCCAATCATTTTGTAATGCTATTGATAAAAATAGTTTAATTGTTGATGTTCTTGCTACTGGTGAGTAATTTGGTTCAAATTCACTCTCCTCCTTAATTTGAAAACCTTTGGCTACTATTCTGGCTTTTTTAGTTCCATCATCCTTTGTTCTAAAAACCCATTTTGTTTGAATAGCTTTTTTATGTTTAGGTAATTCTACTTCTGCCCATGTACTTAGCTTTTCATGTGAAAGTAGCTCTTTTCTTATGGATTCTACCCATTCAGGATCTTTTATGGCATCTTCATAGCATAAAGGATCATTTTCTTCTGTTGATATTAAACAATAAGCTGTATAAGTCTCATATTCACTTAAATATTTGGGTGCTTTTATTGTTCTTCCTGTTTTTGTTGTTTCTATCTTTGGCATGCATTCTTCATAATTTTCTGAACTTATATTCTCTGTTTCATCTTCATTAGCTTCATTTAAATCATCATCTTGAATTTCTATCTCTATATCATTTATTCCCCCTTGCAGTTCATTTTCATACTGTACTTCTATTGTTTTCTTATTTGTATCATCCATCATATTGGTCTTAGTGATTTCATCATAATTAGTTAAAGTTTCATCAAATCTCACATCTCTTGAACAAAAAATTTCATTAGTTTCATAATTCCACAATCTATATCCAGCTCCTGTATATCCTATCATTATGCAAGGTTGTGCCCTTCTTTCTAATTTGCTTTGTTTTGGTAAGACTATTGCCCATGCCTTACTTCCAAATACTTTCATTTTTGATAAATCATTTTTATGGTACCATCTTGTGGCAGGTGTTTCTCCGTTATTTGCTTTAGTAGGTGTTCTATTTAATTCATATGCTGAGCACAGAATTGCTTCCCCCCATAACTCTCTTGGTAGATTAGTTTCAGCAAATTTGGTTCTTACTTTGTCTAATAAGCTTCTGTTCATTCTCTCTGAAATCCCATTTTCTTGTGGAGTATATGGCATTGTATATTCCACTTTAATACCTTTATTTTTACAAAAATCTCTAAATGCATTAGATGTAAATTCACCACCATTATCAACTCTAATTCTTTGCGTTTTTAGATTATGCTGAGTTTTAATTAACTTAATAAACTGAATAATATTTTGATCTGCTTCATGTTTATTTTTTAATAATCTTACTACTAAAAAATGTGAGTAATCATCTATTAATACTTGAAAGTATTTATAACCTTCAGATGTTGGTGTAGATATTGGACCTGAAATATCTGAGTGTATCAACTGACCAATTTTTGTTGTGTATTTAAAACATTTATAAAATGGTTTACGAGTACTTTTACCTTCCATACAATCTTTACAAATTTCTGAACTATAAGGTAGTCCTAATATTTTTAAATTGTGCCTATTTATGTGCCCTAATCTCCTATGCCATAAATTATCATCTATAGTCTTATTTACATAACTTACTATATGGTTTGTCTCATTACAATAATTATATTTATTATTAACAAAATCTACCTTTAAACAAAATAAATTATTCAACATTTCACATTGAAATTTTGATCCATTTTTATTTATTATAGCTTGTCTTTTACCATTAATATCATTAACAAATGTTACTTTAAAACCTTTTTCTAATAATTTAGATACAGAAATGAGGTTATGTGATATACCTTTAACAATAAGTGCTTCTATTTTAATATCTCGTCCTTGACATGTAGCTTTTACTGTACCTACCTTATTTGCTATCAATACCTCACCATTCTTTGCAGTTCCAATTTTCACTGTGTTGATTTGTTTTACATCTACCATATATTCAACCATTTCTTCCATTACCATGTGTTGTGTACATCCAGAATCCAGAATGAATGTCTGTACATTGAGAGTAGATATGTTACATGTAGTTACACCACTTAATGCAATGAAGGCTAATTCATTTGCTTGATTTGCCTGTGATTGCTTACCACCTTGATTTCGTCTACTATGATTTGTACCACTTTGTATATATGTACTTCTTGAATGCCCTTGAAAGTTGCCTCTTGGATTGTGACCTCTATTCCCACTTTTGAATTGGCGACACTCTGATATCTTATGTCCTGGTTTGTGACATTTATAACAAATTATTGGCTGATTGACTTGAAATGACATTTCATTAATATTAGCTGGTTTACCTTGTTTTGATTTAAGTTTCATTTCTTCATCTAATAGTCTGGATTTTACAAAGTCCATTTTAATAGTTGTATTCATTGTTTCTATAGCTGTGATGACTGATTCATACTCTTCATTTAATGATAGTAATAAATGGCATACTTTGTCTTCTTCTTCTAGTTTTGAACCTGCATTTTCTAAATCTCTTATAAGGGTGTCAAACAACAGAAAATGATCTTCTAATTTTTCATTTCTTTTCAGCTTTAATGTTAACAATTTACGTTTCAATGTTAATTTTGTAAACACACTTTTTCTCTCGAATATATTCTCTAGGGCTTTAACCATTTCTTTTGTGGTATTTGCATCTTTAACTAAATCCAAGTGTTTGTCTGTTAAACATTGTACTATGATGCTTTTACCTTTGGAATCTTTTAGTTTAAACTCTGCTTTCTCTTTTGGTTCACTGTAGTCTTGCTCAGTTTTCTCCAATACATCTAATAATTGTCTTTCTTCCAGTAGTATGGTTACTCTGAATTTCCAATTGTTAAAATTTGTAGCATTTGTCAGCTGAGGAACATTGACTATTGCATTAGCCATTTTATATTTCACACTTTCTTTTATGCTTCTTTATTTTTTGTCTGTCTGGGTGCCCATAACCTATTAGAATTTGTTGTTTCCCAGTGAGGTAATACAGAGATAGCAGTGAATTATTTGATTACTTTATTTTACAAAAGTACTAAAAACTAAACATGTGCTACATTCTACAAAATATATTTTACAACTGACATATGACAACCGGAATCACTTATGACAATGTGAGCCAGTGTTGCCAAGTACAAAATTCCAATAGTCTGAAAGTATTTTTGCTGGTCTAATAATCTTTGACTTATACATTGCATTGAATTGCGGCAATGTGAGAACAGGACACAACAGTTACTAATCCATTGGTACAATCACAATCAATGGTATATAAACTGTTTTTTTTTTCTTAAGGAATGAAGTCAATTTATTTTAGGCTAATAAAAGTAAAACTCTTTGAGCTTAGTCAAGCTTTCGGAAATTTTATTTCCTTTTTCAAGACCATCTAAAAATGAATGTTTACATTTAGATAAAACTAATATAAACAAAAAAACTTACTGCTTGCGGTTACTGACGCGGTAACAAGAAAATATATCAAAAATCGGTATTAATTGACAAGTTTATGTACTAAAACCATGATGAAACAAAAAAAAAAAAAAATGTTTTTTTGGTTTTTCGAATTTGAGACAGTTCCGGAATGAAAATGGCAAATCTAACCCCTCCATTAAAAAAAAAACAAAATTATTTAGAAGTTTTCCAAAAATTACCTACATATTCTAATTTTTTTTTTAATCCAAATATATTTTCCTGAGCTCAATTTTGATTGAAAAATCTAAAAAAATTGGAGTGTTTTTGGGTATTAAAATTTATGTTTATGAATTTATTCAGATTTTTTAAGGCAAAGAAATCTCTCAGGAAATTTTTTTTCGAAAAAACATTTTGTGCGATAGGGGACATCTGGGGCCACAGAGGGAGCTAAAAAAGTGCAGATTTTACTATCTTATCCCGCGATAGCCTTTATCTTAAGTATTTATTGCGCCCCTTTAAAAATATTAAAATTTATGTACTTACTTGAATAGACGAAGCTTCCCAAGTATGCCTATCCAACAACATTGCTAAAGCCGAAGGAAACAATTCTTTCATTTTGATTTCTTTGTCCTGATTCGTTTCTATAAACGTATAAAACCCAGAAAAACTTATAACGGCAAAGATAAGTATATCGAACAGAAAACAAATATTTTCTATTTCACTTCTCTCTGCTATTTTTGCCTGAATCTGGCCAACTAGTTCTAGAAACCACGGTACACATTCGTCGGTGTTTTTACTCTGTGTTTTAAACACTGAATCCAATTCTTCCCATAAATACAAACCTCTAAAAGAAAGGATACATAATAAAGTCGTGTTTTGTCATTAAAATTAATAAAACTATAAAAATTTCTATGTTGTGCGCATTCTTTTTAAATCTCATCTTTTTCGAATAGAATATAAAGTCGGATAAAGTCAATAAAATAAAGACAATTTAATGCAAACCTAAAATTAGTACTCCAAACGTCAATAAGTAGATTTAACCAATTCATAGGTGCAAATTTGACACTTCTTGCTAAAGCGCACCTAATTTTAACAGTTTTTCTAAAACCCTCCTCATTATCAACTATATCAAACTTTGCAACCTCCAGTAAGTTTGATGGTGAAACAACGATAACTTGACACAAAAGATCGAATAACTAAAAACAAAATTGATATGTCATTAAAATGAAAATTGATATGTAGACAATGTTATACAAAACTTATACAAAACATTAATGGAAGTAATAGAATGATATAAAGTTGCCTGAGAAGAAATGGTCGCAAATTAGTCTTGCCAGCTATGAAAACGCGAGGTATCTAAAATAAAGTAAAAGAGAGCTAGCGCGAAACGCCACTGGTTTGACATGGAGAGTGTCAGTTGTATGAGTTTTTAAAGCATGTGTCAATAGAAAGTGTTAATGGTATACATATTATAAACATATAATTTTTCATTTTTCTAAAATGCAAACTTTAGTTTAATCAACGTGTAATAACAATAAAACGAACTTAAAAGCTTCTATATAATAATGTAACACTCGCCATCTGTGTCAAACTAGTGTCATCGCACGCTAAGTCTCTTTTACTTGTGACACCTCGCGTTTTTAACATCGTGCGACCCTAATTTGCGACCATTTTTTCTCAGTCAACCATATATTACCAATTTAAAAAATATTAGCTTTATTTCATATAAATTGCGCAGCGTATTTTATTTAAAAAATAAAAGAACGAACTTTTTGTTCAAAATTAATTACAATTAATTCAATTAAAACCTGTTATCAATGTATTTTCCTATTCTCCAGATGCTAAAAGATCACAGTTCAGGCATTCTTAGTCAGCCAAAAGTCGACTGTGCAAAACTCAAATCGAATACCTTACTAAAACAAGCATACTTACTTTTAAATTCACATCTGTTACGAAGATAATGCTACCCACAACTTCTATTATAGTCACTTTATTGGTTTCTTGAATGTTTTCTTGCTGAAGTACACTTTTTAAGTAATCAAAAATTTTAAGTAACAATTCAGGGTGGTCCTGATTATATTCTTGAATGGCAAACCACATACAATTTTCAATGAAAAGGCCTCAAAATCATTGGTTGGATACTTCTTGACAAAAATTTTAAATTTCTAAACGTGTGCGCTATATCTGTAATCTAAGATTAAATATATTAATATATAAGAAATAAGAAGTATAACTTTTATATTTTTTTATGGGAAGAGGATGATAAATATTGTAAAGACCATACCAAGTCGTGTCCCTTCTTTATGACAATTAGCGTTACCGCCTTGTACTCAGTCTTTCCCCTCATTGCTTCCTGCACTATGCTGTTTACACTTCCACTATCTACCTATCCGTGCCTGTTGTGAAATAGACAAAAAAGTAATTAGTGTCTCTGTCAACGCACTTACAACGCAATACCCTCGTCCAATCATCCTTGTCGTAGGTTTCTGCGCTTTCGTTCACCAGCAGGTGGATGGGTAATACAATACACCCTCAATCAATTGTATGCTCACCGTTGATAATGTTGTGTATGCACGAGTTATCCTGAGTAGTGCTTTTCGTTGGAATTTCTTTAGCATCATCCTGCATTTCTGTTAAACCATTTCCATTAAAATCCTACTTTTGTCAGTCTCTGGACCTCCCACGTTGGGCATAATCTTTGTCAGCGCCGCAGTCTCTACCCTGGCCTGCTAATATTACTCCCAAGTAATTTACTTTTTTAGCAGGTAAGAGTCTTTGTTCCTTCAGGACAAAAGCTATATGGATTCTGACTCTCGGATCCTTGAGGATCATAGCCTCAGTCTTCTCGACCGCCAGCTTTCCATCCACACTTCACTTTTTCGAGGGTGTTACAGAAAGTTTCTGGAAGATTTATTTTGCACATTGTCTTGAATTATTAATTTTTTTCGTTCGTGCCCATAAAAGTACATGCTATCTTTGGTACGCTATCACTTAAGTGAGGAATATCCAAATAGGTGTTGTCGGTCTTTGAATTTGTACAAACTTGCGCATGCCTCATGATAACTAATAAACTTGAAATCGAGAGAACAAATACAAATGCAGACGTATGCTCATAAGGCATAGACTGCTTTACAACCTTATTTATAAACACTAAGTATTACTATTATATCTACTACTGAGTTTTCTTAAAAGTAACTAAATTAATGCATAACTTTATAATTAACAAAATATGCCGTAAAATATCTTGGACTGTATAAGATTTGTATGTAATACTTATTTGTATCTCATTAAATAAAGTCTCAATTTATGTACATTTATATTGGGAATGCTGCAATGTCGTTTTACCTGTGGATTATTGGTTAACTCTACCAAATATCCTTCGATCAACCTCCTAGCGGTACCAGACATCACCACCTGATGAGAAGCGATATCCACAGCATACTCTTTCGTTTTTGGATCCACCAGCAAGTCATGTAAAAAGCTCCAGTCCAGTGGAGGTAAGGGTTTGCTGTATTCCACGCTATATATGTTCAAACATTCAAGATAAAGTTTATCGTGTATGCTTCCTCTCCATTTGTTGACCTTAAACAAAATATTTCGTTTACATATTGATGTAGAGCGTGGGATTACGATGGTAAATTGAATCAAATTGAAAAACATGATGGGAATATTTTCAACATAGGTCGAGAATATTACTCTCGGACTATTTAGGGAAATGTAAATACTACAGTAGAAGCCACAGTTAGAATGCAGTACAGGTAAGGTCGACAATGTATTTCTTACGGGAGATTAAGATGGTGTGGAGTCAAGTGAAAAGGTATGTGGTTTCAAACAAAGTCGATTTTAAAGAAAACACGGTAGAACGATAGGAGATGATTCAGAGGATGAGAACGATTTAGATATGGATTGCGATTAGTATTAGTTAACGAGAAATATCTCAGATTTAATGCTTTTGAAACGAACGGCGTTCAGTCCTGATTTCTCAGTCTATCGCCAAACTACCACTATGCCGACATAAGTCGCCTCCCTGCGCGCCGTACGACCAAAACACAAGACGACTCATTCTAACTGAGGCTTCTACTATAGAACACGACTGACGCGTTTGACATTTCTTTAATTATAATAGTAGATGACACACGTATTTTTTTATGTATTTTTTTAATGGTGCATTTTTAAGTGTCTAATATTGAATGCGATTTCAGAAAAAATAGTATGTGTACCCTTCAAGCCATCCTGCAAGGAAAAATATTTGGAAAACGAGGTCCAGGAAGAAGAAGAACATCTTGGTTGAAGAAGCTCAGAGTCTGGTTCAATACAACATCTGTGCAGCTAAGATAAAGATTGCCATGATGATCACCAACATTCGTAATGGATAGGCACATCAAGAAAAAGAAGACCCCGTAATAAAAACACATTTCCGGACTTCAATGCTTGTTAGCCTCAGCTGCCTGCATCATCGTTTGGAAATGTATGGTTTTTACTACTAGATACACGGTATTTCAGTTTTCCTTGTGACAGATATTAAAATATGCTTAGCTGTATTATTAATCTTTATATGTACATGTTTTATGTTTTAAATAGATAAAAGTTAAAAAGAAATTCTAATACCAACCAGATATAAAAAGAAGCAATGGATGACGGAAGAAATTTTAGATTTAATGGAAGAAAGACGTCAATATAAAAACAAAGATAATCAGATGTACAAAAAAGTGGATAAACAAATAAAATACAGAATTAAGAAAGCGAAAAAACAATGGTTAAAAAAAATGCGCAGAAATAGAAGAATACCAGAAAAGACATGATAGTTTTAACACACATAAAAAAATTAAAGAATTAGCTCACAACAATAGAACAAGAAAACCGGAATACTGAAAGACGCAAATGGGAAACTTGTGTTGAATACTAACGACAAATTAAAGAGATGGACAGAATACATCAATGAACTGTTCAAAGACAATAGAACAGAGCAGATGGAGATAGAAGTAGAAGATCATTATGGTTTTAAGGATATTAAAAGAGGAAATTAAAATGGCATTAAAAAACAGCAAAAATGGTAAAGCGGTAGGTCCAGACCAAATCCCTATAGAAATCTTAAAATGCATAAATGATGAAACCTTAGACATTGTAGTAGACTTATTTAGCTCAGTATAAAAAACAGGACACATACCGAAATAATGGTTACTCTTCACCTTTTGTGCTATCACTAAAAATACAAACGCTAAATATTGCAGTAAATACAGAACAATATCACTAATAAGTCACATTCTCAAATTATTCTTGAAAATAATACATGGTCGTATAAATAAAAAACTGGAAGAAGGAATAGATGATAGTCAGTTTCCTTACCCATGTTTTAATAAATTCACCAATAGCTCTAACTATGCTAAACGAAGGTAAATAACTATAATTAACTGGTTCTTTGGGACCTTTGGGCTGATACACATATTTTAAAAAACCATCAATCTCGATCGACATCATTTTTTTGATAAAATTTATAGATGATATTGAAGCTCCATTCTGAATCAAAAATTGTATCCAGGTCTTGCCTAGAACAAAATACATTAAAAAATATCTTTCAAAGCTACTTTCTTATAACATGTTTTATATTAACTATTCGCTACGCACAAGATGGCAGAGGCTGCGAAGTTGAACTGCAGGACGTATTAATAAAAAATTGTCCCGCAGAACTTTTCGTTATACAGTCCATCTAATTTACTTACCGTTGTACGTCATTATTATTGACAGAGATCGAACTTGACATAGTTGCCAAAGTATAAAAAAATCCTGTATCCATTTTAAATCAAATAGGTCACATAATTCTTGCAAAAGTGGATTATATAACAAAACAAATTAATATTTAATGTAAATAAATAGAAACAAAACAAGAGTTAAAAAATAATTTAGTTAAAACAAAACTTTCTTAGTTGAAAGGCCTGGTGATAGAAGTGTATTAGTTTTTACGGCCTAAGAAAGTTTAAATATGTAAATTTAAAGCTGCAGCTACACGCTAAAACTAGAATGTATATTTTAAGCATCTACAATAATATACAAAACATACATTTACATACTTCTCTAACAGCAGTCAAGGGTAGAATGGGGCCATTATTATCACGTTTCACTTCAAAATAATGAATCACAGAAGCTACAATCTCTTTACAACGACTATTTAAATTCTTACGTGACATTGTTTAAATAAAACACACTAATTTTATCCAAAAAGAACAGATTTTATTAAATAGGTAAAAATATAAAACAAGAGGTATTCATTTTAAAATTCAAAACAATAAAGTACAAAAACTGTCAAGGCCGCAACTGTTAAATAAGTGTTACCAATTTATGCCAAAATATCACCTTCGTTCGATTACAGTTACAGTGTGTTCCGAACAAATGTTCTTCATAAAAAACGCTTTATAATGCATTTATACAAATTAAATGAAACATATTATTGTGTATTTCTTTAAGTTAACATTAATAGAAATTTTAAATATTATTTCTACGCGTATATAATAAAATATGTCTAGTGGCTGTAATGCCAGTGTACTCGGCAAAGTGATTCTAAAAAAGAACACACCTACCGCCTAAATATTTCGTGATGGTATCATGTGACCTCACGGACTAAGACACGGATGATGTGCAATGGTAAGTAAATTAGATGAAGTATACATATTTACTACTCTACGTAGTGTGTAATTGCACAAAGTCGCAAGATCTGTTATTACCGTTTCACTGCGTTAGTCATTTTTATTTTATCCTACATCTGCGCGATACATCGCTCCGTCGTTAAGATTGTAACTTGTAAGTTCTCGGTCTCTAACGTATGCCATAAAAAAAAATAAATAAATACCTGAGACCGATTGCATGTTAGGAGTACTTCCAGGCTCCAAATACTTCTCCGGTAAATGCATACATATATGCTCCATTCCGAATGTTGTCAGACTCAAAAGAGCAGCTTCGCTTATCTCGGAGTTTCCAAGTTCTCCATAATACCATAAGGTTTTTGTTACATCTTCGAATAAGTCTTTATAGTTGTCTGCGTCAGATAGCTGCGGAATTTCTGTGGTGAGTGCACATAAGCTAAAATAGTAGACTATGTAATGAGATCTACAATAAAACATCGAACATATACACGGTGTTACAGAAATAACGTTAGTGCTTTTGGTCAGTTTTTTTGAGGAGGATGCCAAGGTAACTGGATCCTCTTTGAAAAGTATTGTTAAATTTAAAAATTATTTAAAGGTCATTCACTATAATGCTCAATCGTTACATAACTCTTTTTTAGATTTTGAAGTTCTGCTCAATGATATTTCAGATGATTGTTTGTGTCTTAATGAGCACTGGCTTTTTGTAATATACTGGCTCCGCTGTCACCACTGTACAACTCGCGGGAATTATATCCCCTATTGTAACATCTGTAACTAGAGGGTGAGAAAAATCTTCACCACTGTACAACGCTGTTACCACTGTAATATACTGGTAATGAACCTTAAAGGATGCTTATCCCTGCGAGCGGCTGCAAGGAATACTGGTCCCACTAGTCTGGAGGGCTGGCTCGCCTTCGTGGATTTACGAGAAGGTAAGGAACTTCGGAATAGGGGTTAAGGACTTCTAGGTCTCAGGTCCTGTAAAGAGTTTGAGTCTATGGGCTTACTTTAGAAGCCGGATAAATGTATAAGCCGAAATTTGGTACTCTTCTGGTCTCTGTCTGAATCGGTCGGAACATAAAACCAATTTTAGAGTCTACAAATGTATTGAATATACTATGTGGTTTACAATTAAGTTAACAAACTGTCAGATATAAGTAATAATAACTCGTTCGGCGCGAAGGGAGACGAGAAGAGATCTTAGCAAGAAAGTAAAGGGGTGACAATCTGTAATACTATAATTTACTCGGGTTAGTATATAGAATTTTGTTACCTTTCGCGTATTTAGGCTCTAGCTAATGATACGCCCTTCAGTTCCTACGGAAATCGGATTTCTTTCAGTACCCGACACTTATACGGAACTATACCCCGTCGAAATATAACAATCGCGCGTAATCCGCACCTGGTGATACTCTCGTATTAACCACCTGCCCGAAGACACCGACTGTCTGCGCGTACTGGACGCTATCGCGTCCACCCGATGACGGCAATACTGCCTGAGCGGCCAGTCACGGTGCCCCGCTATACTGACTGACTCGCTATACTGACTGCCGACTCCTCTGTTCTTCTTGTTTTTATTGAGCTCGTATTTTCAATGCCGGTTATAGTGCCAAGGTCGTGTTTTCGCTGAGTTGATAACCTATGCGTTTATTTGGGTCACGAGCGGTGTTATTTTTACAACAATAGTTTCTGTTTGACGTGCTTTTTCTACGGTTTAAACAATTATCAAACAATGCACTAACTAGGTCAATTTCTTTGTGTAATTTAAAATGTATACTTTACTGTATTAATTATCCCTTATTTGATTTGGAATATATAATAATCATTAAAATGATTATTATTCTCCCCTATGCTACAAACCTTTATTTTAATCTTTACTTTCTTGCTATGTTTACAACAGCATTGTGAGATTACAGGTATTTTATTAAATAAATCTAATGTGCAGCTTACTGCTATCTATCGTACTCCAGATAGTGATTTAGACAAATTCTTTACCATTATGACTAAAGCTATTAAAAAAATTAATGTTTATAAACCTGTTAAAATTACGGATGACTTTAATATCCATTTTAATGAAACAGACATCAGAGCTTTAAAACTCTGTAATTTTTTTAGATCTTACAATATTACAAAAAAGTTAAATTTAATACTCGAGGTAATAGATGTCTTGATAATGTTTTCTCAATTATTGATGGTACCACAAAACCTGTAGATCTTACTGACACATCTGACCACAGAGGTATTTCCTTTCAGATAGCTTACTCATCCACAAATTGTGCAACCAGAGTTTGTTATAGGCCTATCACAGATGAAGGCATCTTCAATCTGAACCACGAATGTTAAACTAATGATGCCACAAAATTCATTTGCTTGAACGTACTTAAAAGTTTGAGGTGATTTAGGGCTGCACACCACCCTTAAAATTTTTCTGTGCGCTTAGATTTTGTTGTTTCTTTTGTATGAAAAATTCTTTCAGAAAAAGAAAGTAACGTGTTCATTTTTATTACAAAATGTCAAGTAGAGTAGGAGATAATGCAAAAAACAATTTTTATTTTGTAACTTCGAAGGGCTGTAACTTTTTTTGTGTACACTTTTGTACTAAGGTAAGTTGGATTCAATCAATTTATTTTTGTCCCCGGAATGCATGATTTAATTGACATACCTTTTTGAAACACCCTGTATTAGTATAGTATCAAATAAAATTTTAAATGCTGTACCTTTTTACTACCTGAACTCTCATATCGTTTTTAAATTTAGGTGATAAAGTTGACCACGTCGTTTTAATGTCAATCACGCCCGCTTTGCATAAGATCGTTATGGCTTCTATAGCTAGAGAACACGGTAAAGCGCCATTATCGTCATCACAATCATTTAATATTTTCGATAAATGTGCTATGACATCTTTTCCATATAATTCTGGTCTAAAACAAAATATAATACAAACAAACAAATAATAATAGTCCATCACAATCAAAACTAAACTACTGGTAGTAAAACGGAAATTGTAAGTCATAATCAAACAAGGCACAGGAAAATATAGACTGTAATGATCAATGATCAGGATAAACGCTGCAGGATCAACATGTAATAATGTATTTTAGATTATACCTATATATTATAAACTAAGTACTTCTTATACTGGCTGATCAACATCCATGCACCTTTGCACAAGTGCATTCACACCAAACAGGGCTTCCCTCGTTCCCAGTGCATATCTAAATCCAAATTGTGTGTCACTTGTGTCCTGCTCAAGTTTGTTGTGTATTCTCCGGTGTATAATTTTTAAAAATATTTTGAGCGTATGACTCATTAAACTTATTATCCGGTGTTCTTGGCATTCTTTTGCATTTGGTTTTTTTGGTAGTGTTATGAATGTTTGACATCAGCTAATCTCTGGAATGACTCCTGTACTGTATATTGTATTGAATAAGTCGACCAATATTCCAATTTGCTGTTCTTCTATTAACCGTATAATGTCTACAGGTATTTCGTCAGGACCCGTTGCCTTGTTGTTCTTTGTTCGATTTATCGGCTCTAATACCTCATCTTCTGTTATGTCTGGGCCGTTGTCGAACTTTTCCTGCTCTAGTACTATCTCAGTCCGTTCATCTTTAAATAGCTCTTGAATAGGTATATTCCTGCCATCTTTTAAGCCTTTCACCGACGTCTATAATTATTTTGCCGTTTTTATACAGCAGTATATTTGTTTTTTTCTTAATATTAGTGCTGTTAATTCCCTAATTTTTTTATGAAGGTTTAAGTAATCATGTTTCTCTACCAACTATTCAATCTCTTCGCATCTGTCACTATACCATCTTTCCTTTGCATCTCTGATCTTTCTCCTTATTTCTGTGTGTATAATATTATACATGTTTTCGTCTTTGGTTTTTACAAGATCTCCTTGCTTCCATGAGATCCAGAATGTCATCTGTCATCCATTCATTTTTGTTCTTGATCGGATTAGGTGTAGTGTTGTCTCACATGTGCGTAAAAGAGCCTCTTTTAACATAATGTCATTTCCTTTTCGCATCTTCAGTACGAATAATTTCTAAATTAGGTACTGGTGTTATTTAAATAAAGTGAAAATCAATTGGTATTATTGGTATTTTAAATTATTTAGGGGAGAGTGGGGCAAAATGATCCCTATAACATTTTTTAGGCTAAATATAACAAAAAATGCAATATTTAAGTGCAGTTTAACAATATCAATTCAAACATTACATCATTTTTGAAAAGTTCAAAGTGGATCATTTTACCCCATAGTTAGGGTAAAATGACCATGCTCCAGGAGACCAAATACCCCTACAGTTCTTTTGAACAGAAAAAGTAATAAAACGATTCTATTTACAAAAATCGAAATTTCTGCTTTTTAATTTCACCCGCATACAATAAATGAGACCCTTTATTGTCTGAGGAGGTGCCTGAGGTATTGGAGATCTATCATAGAGTGCTACAAAAGTATCGTTCAGTGAAGATGTAATTTCATTCCTTTTAACGCCAGATTTCTGTTCTGAAGTGCTAACTTCGGAAATTGGGATTGAATTACCAACTGTCAACTTTATGGCTTGAAGCAACACCTACCGGATTTGAAACTGCAGTTAATAAAGTTTAATTTTCCAATAATCCCCTGGACTGTTTCCAAAAAGGCGGATATCATCAGAATATGATACTTGCTTCACACTTGCTTCTCAGTCCTTATCTGACTAGTTTGATAAAGATACATTACAAACTTTTCTTTCTCTTATAGGTAAATTATTTGGAAGCGAAGAAGTATCTCTTCGTGCAGGAGTTCTGTGTTCATGGAGGGGATCAACGGTTTCATTTTCTGCTATAGGTCGATTAGTTCTATACGATGGTTTAAATTTCAATCTGGGAGTATGCTCAGATTAAAAGGACAGATTCCTGTTACAGTTGTCTTATTTTTTCCTATTGTGGCAAAACTGTACATTCAAAAATTTTCAAAAAATTCATAAGTATTTCTTAGGATTATATCTTTATGCTGTAAGAAAATTAACAGAATTGTATGTTTGGTTTTCCCGCTTTATATTTGGAAAAAAGTAGTTTTTTGAGTTTTTTCGAAAACGAAAACATGAAGTTTGCTCAACATTTGCCAAAAAACTTCTAGTGACCACATATACCTTCTCAATTTTTTTCAAATTTTTTGAATGTGTTTTTTTTGGGGGGTGCAGATCAACCTTAAGCTTATACTTACCCTTTCAAAACATAAAAATAATAAAATTGCGTAAAAAATTTAATATTTCAATGTACTCTATACTTACTTTTTCTCACAGATTTTTTTAAGAATGTAGGCTTTAACAACATTCCGTTCCCATATTTTCTTAACGGGAACATTTTGTACTAAAAGATCTTCCATGTATATATAACATTTATTATCGATTTTCCAAGCATCGTACGCTAAGGAAAGAGCCATGTTAAACAGATTTTCTGAGCCTTTACTTAATGCTTGTATCATTGCTATAACTTTAGGAATATTATCACGTAGAATAACTAATCTTGGCAATGCTGTTAAAAAATGATGCGATTGATTTTTAGGAATTACGTACAAAATTAGTGTTAGCAATTTTGAAGATAGCGCTATTTGATTTTTGGTGCAGATAAGTAATAATTCCAAAATAATTGTTGATATTTCCGGATCAGTATAATCAACCATCATCAAACCAGTGAGAATATTAAAAATTTCAGCAATGAAGTCTTCAGGAACTTGTTGTAGTTCCTTCAGCCATGTTTTTAGCAGGTTTTCATGTGAAAATCGCTCTAAATTCGTAGCTAACGTTACAGCAAGAAATACAGTTTTATTTGTACATATTTGATCTTTATATTTATCAGCAAATGCTTTTAGACTCGCATTATTTTCTTTATCAGCATGCTGACGTTTATCGATAATAGCAATGATGTTTGCAGCAACTTCGTATGCTTCATTCGTTAATAAACAAGGTGCTGCTAACCATGGCAGTAAAGAAGCTCGAACTGTTTCTAGGGCATATACATTGATTGTTTTATTTGATTTTACAGCGGATTGGCCTAAAATTAAGAAAACATTTTGTAATAATCTTTTCATGATATAATGAATACACAAATGACACAATTATTGACGGTCATGGGTTAATAATGGATCTTGGAGGAAGTGTGAGTTGTCTATGCTCAATTCGCAACAAAACTCTGAGCAATATCTGTCCTGTGGTCTGTGAACTGTGTTTGTCATTTGTCATCTTAGTTTTAGTTAATGTCATATGTAATTGTCATGTTATTCATTCAAACAAAACAATGCTAATTTCTTGTATATTAAAACCTAGTTTATAAAGGTTTTGCATTTCATTACAATTTAATATACAAGAAATATCAAATATGGATAAGCTACTACGACCAGACAGATTCGATGCTGATCCTAACTCTCCTAGATCGTCTCAAGAATGGATGCATTGGAAAGCTACCTTTGAAAACTTTATTTCCTCTGTGATTGATGTTTCAGAGGAGGAGAAATTCAAACTACTGGTAAATTACGTGAGCAACAATATCTATGAACTCATCTCTGATTGTAGAAAGTATTCTGAAGCCAAAAGTATTCTTGAAGCAGCTTTTGTTAAACCCAAAAATGAAATTTTTGCCAGACATATCCTAATGACAAAAAAACAACAAACTGGTGAAAATATAGGTCAATACGTTCAACATCTTAAAGTGCTTTCCAAAGACTGTAATTTTCTAGCCGTTTCTGCAGACCAAAATAGAGAAGATTATATAAGAGACTCTTTTATTAATGGCATTCTTTCTAATGACATAAGACAACGTTTACTAGAAAACAACACTATTACTCTGCAAGATGCCATAGTAAAAGCCCAGTCTCTGGAGTCAGCTTCAAAACACTCTGAGGCTTATACAACTCCTGTACAAATTATTAATGCAATTTCTTCTGAAACCAGAGAGCACACTAATTATACTTCTGCTGCTGTGAAAAGTTGGAAATGTTACTTTTGTGGATCAACTGAAAGGCATCCTCGTAGCCTATGCCCTGCTAGAGACAAAGTTTGTAAGAAATGCTCGAAAGTTGGACATTTTTCCAAGGTATGTAGGCTTCAGATGCCCAATTCAGTATCAGCTGCTGTTTTAGCTACTACTACATCTAGTTCGAATGTTAGAAATCTTGCTGCTGCCCCTCAATGCTTATCTAAAAGTGTTACTGAGATAAAGGTGAATGGAAATACAGCTGAAAGTTTAATAGACACAGGTAGTTCTGAGTCATATATCAGTAAGAATTATGCATTGTCTATAAACGTGAAAACATTTAGAAGTCATGCAAGCATAATAATGGCTTCAACAGCACTCAGAACGACTATCTCAGGACACTGCTTTGTTAATTTAGAAATAAACGAACATTCATATAAAAATGTCAAATTATCAATAATTCAAGATTTATGTGCTGATGTAGTTATAGGTCATGACTTGCTTAAACAACATTCTTCTCTAGAAATCACTTTTGCTGGCTCAAAAATGCCTTTAGTTATTGATCATATAGATAACATTTGTAGTTTGGCATACTTAAATATAGAGCCACCCAAATTATTCTCCAATCTATCAAATGATTGCAAACCGAGGGCAACTAAATCAAGAAAATTTTCAACTGAAGATAGAAAATTCATATCTGACGAGATACAGTATCTGCTATCGAATGGAATCATAGAAGAAAGCAACTCTCCTTGGCGTGCACAAGTACTTATTACAAAAAGTGAAACACACAAAAAGCGAATGGTGGTAGATTATTCACAAACAATTAATAAATTTACTTACTTAGATGCCTATCCTCTCCCAGATGTTGAAGATATTGTTAGAAAAGTAGCAAGATATTCTGTCTTCAGTACTATTGATCTTAAAAATGCATACCATCAAATTCCAATTAAAAATGAAGAGAAAATATACACTGCTTTTGAAGCCAACGGCCAACTATACCAATTTTGCCGGATTCCTTTTGGGGTAACCAACGGAGTGGCTTGTTTTCAAAGGGTTATCGATGGTATTATTAAATCCGAACATTTAAAAGGTGTGTATGCATATCTTGATGACATTACGGTTTGTGGATTAAATCAACAACAACATAATGAAAATCTTAATAAATTTATGGAAGTAGCGAAGAAATACAATCTAACAATAAATCAAAATAAAAGTTCTTATACACTAAATTCAATCAAACTTTTGGGTTATCAAATAGAAAATCAGACCTTAAAACCTGATCCTGAAAGACTTGAACCATTAAAGAAGTTACCCTTACCAAACGATTCACAATCACTAAAGAGAGCTGTCGGAATGTTTGCACATTATTCCAAATTTATCCCACAATTTTCAGAAAAGATACAAAAACTAGTCACATGCAATACTTTTCCTTTAACAGAACAAGCAGCTGAAGCTTTCCAAATTCTTAAATCTGAAATTATTTCTTCAGCTGTTACTACAATTGATGACAAGATTCCTTTTATCGTTGAATCTGATGCTTCAGATTTTTGTATTGCTGCTTCTCTTAGCCAAGGAGGAAGACCTGTTGCTTTCTTTTCAAGAACCTTATCAAAAAGTGAAAGAAATCATTCATCAGTGGAAAAAGAGGCTTATGCAATAGTGGAAGCTCTTAGAAAATGGAGACATTTCTTGATAGGTAAACATTTTCGACTTATAACTGATCAAAAGTCTGTCTCTTTTATGTTCAATATGCGCCACACTAGTAAGATAAAAAATGAGAAGATTATCAGATGGCGCCTTGAATTATCATGCTACAGTTTCGATATTCAGTACCGACCAGGAGTTGAGAATGTAGTGCCAGATACTTTCTCACGAGTGAGCTGTTCAATAAATCCTCGACCAAGTCTATTTGAACTACATCAATCCTTGTGTCATCCAGGAATCACCAGAATGGTCCATTGGATAAAGACACGCAACTTACCATATACTATTGATGAAGTCCGTGAAATGACCAATCGCTGTCCTATCTGTGCAGAAATAAAACCAAAGTTTTTGAAAACTCAAGGGAGATTAATTAAAGCTACTTCGCCTTTTGAAAGATTGTCTCTGGATTTTAAAGGACCGCTTCCATCTAGATCTCATAACAAATATATCCTAACAATTGTTGATGAATATTCTCGATTCCCCTTTGTATATCCATGTCAAGATGTTTCAGCGAAAACTGTTGTGAAGTGTCTTACAAACTTATTCTCTTTATTTGGAATGCCTAGTTATATCCATTCAGACCAAGGGGGGGCATTTATGTCTCAAGAAGTCAAAACATTTCTCCATTCACAAGGAATACCAACAAGCCGAACAACATCTTACAATCCTGAAGGAAATGGCCAGACAGAAAGATATAATGGAATTATATGGAAAACTATTTCTCTTGCATTAAAATCTAAACATTTAAAAACTGAACAGTGGGAAGAAGTAGTTGAGATAGCTCTTCATTCAATTCGTTCTCTTTTGTGTACATCTACAAACAGTACCCCTCATGAGCGAATGTTTCATCATTCCAGAAAAGCTATAAATGGAGCTGCACTTCCTTCATGGTTGATAACCCCCGGAAAAGTATTTATGAAAAAAAATGTGAGGCAGTCCAAATATGAACCCCTCGTTGAAGAAGTACAGCTAATTGAAGCAAATCCAAACTATGCTGTTGTTAGACGTGAAGATGGTAAAGAAACAACAGTAGCCTTAAGACAACTTGCACCACGAGGAGATGCATCTCTGGACTGTGTTAGTGGATCGGAATCTGCGGTTTCTAATGAACAGTTTATCAAAGATCCACCAAGCCCTAGATTGAGTATATGTGAGGAAAATCCAAATATTTCTCCTGTTAACATTCTGGAAGATCAAGGTCATATTGAAAGTGTTTTAGAGGAAGAAAATAAACACAGTCTTATTAGAAGAGGTACCAGGGAAAGAAACACTCCTGCTTACCTTAAAGACTTTGTTCAAAAATAAAGTTGGGGTGAATGTCCTGTGGTCTGTGAACTGTGTTTGTCATTTGTCATCTTAGTTTTAGTTAATGTCATATGTAATTGTCATGTTATTCATTCAAACAAAACAATGCTAATTTCTTGTATATTAAAACCTAGTTTATAAAGGTTTTGCATTTCATTACAATATCCACTATTTCAGACGAATAAGTAGGAAATTCTAGAAATACAAACTAATTCTGCCACCAAATCCCTCTTTCACGTACTCAAAAATCGGTGATACATATAATGGTCGTTATAGTACCGAAAGAAAGACAGATATGTAATATATATGTGCAAATGTATATATGTGACAGACAAAAAGGAGAAATAGATCAATTGTAATTTAAATACATACTTACACACTTCAAGTAATTGTTTCAAATGGAGTGGTGAACAAATATTGATAACTTCTGAAAAAATTAACAGAATACTGTCGATGATAACTAAGGTTCTATTTTCAATAACTTTTTTCAAACAACAAAGAACAGATTGCGTATCTAATTTGTTTATTGATAAATTACGAAGAGCGTTTACCAGCCATAATATTATCAATTCAATTTCGATAAATTTACTTATGTTGGGATTGTTCAAAGCTTCAATTAACTGGTCACTTATTAGTGGTAAATCTTCGATTCTTTGTACCTGAAAGGGTTTTTATATTTAGCATTATCAAATAGACATTAAAATATAATATATTATTAAGATATCTATTATATTTTTGTCATCATAGATTTGGTATCAAATATATTAGAAAAAAAAAATAATATAACTGAAAAAGAATTAGTAGAATACTTTACACAACTATTACAAGAAAAACGACCAGAATGGTTAACACAAAAATACCTAGAGAAAGAAAGATAGAGAGAGAACGAGAGAGACTTACGATTAGAACCTACTGATCTAATTATGTATCAGCGGTATAACTGTAACACCCGGAATTAAGGAAATGTAATTCCATTAAGAATGAGTGGTGCTGACCCATCTTTGCAATTGGAATTTTGGATTCGACACAAGAGGTGAAAAACTCATGGAATTCCTGGAACAAGAAAACATGTATGTTATGAATAAACAACGTAACAACGGGTAGTGACCATCGTATAGTTAGAGCAAAAAATAAATATTAACATGAAAGAAGAGAGAACAAGGATTAAAAAAAAAACTACAAGGATAGATGCCTTTAACCTAAGAACAAATGAAGAACAGTTCCGAGAGGTCAACTCTTCTTCATCCATTAACTTTGATGTGAACAAATGAATATTTAAACGAGACAACTATGAAATTAATGTCTTATATGTATCCCAATATTCACCTGATTTATCACCTTAAGAAGCTATTAAAGCCTTTCAAGATCTTTCTACCTTAGCATAAGAGTGGGGAAAATATTTATAGAACTAATTTTAGCATATGTAACAATGTATAGACCTTTCAAATAAATATTTTTAAAAGCAACATACTGTGTTTAGAAAATGTTCATTTCTTCTTGACTTTTTGTAAAAACTTCAAGTGTCTTAATCACAGATATAGAAGACAAATTGCAAATATGGAAAAATGATGTTAGGGAGCTTTTGAAGATTGTAGGCAGAAATATTACTGTTTACACACATGCAGAAATAAAAGTCCTGAAATAACAAAGAAAGAAGTTTTTTATGCATTAAAGACAGAAAAAAAAAGAAAAATACCAAGCCTAGATCAACACCAAGCCAACAAACAGCATTTATAAATTAGGAATTATACGATTGAAATAGCTGATAAAACTGCTCATATTCTTCTTCTTCAGCCTGTTTGCTTTCATTCCTGAACAAAGACCCCCATGAGTTCTCCACTCTTCTCTGTTTTATGCCAGTTTCTCCCCACTTTTCCTTTGATGTCTTTAGGCCACTGTTTTTGTGATCTTCCTCTACTATGACTGTTCGTGTGACCCAGCTCCATTAGCTCTAACAACCTCAGGAAACTTCTTAATCTATTGGTTGATAACTCGTGTGTCACAGTCTTCATTCCACAAGTCATAATTGGTAAGGTACAATTGTTGAACACCCTTTTCTTTAGATTTATTAGTATCTTTTTGTTTCTTAACATAACAATGAGTCTGTTCAGATTATCACGCTAAAAGCCTGATAGGTTATTCGCTAAACGCGTTTTTTAAAACATTGGTAAACACAAGAAATACAGAAAGTTAGGACATAACATCAGCTGAGCCCGATTTGATTTTCAAATATTTCGGCAACCCTGAAGCATTGTTTGCACTTGACGCAGATATCGCGGGTGATTATAATCTATTAATAAATACAAAGGAACATACATATTTTAAAAATATAATTACCTGTAACCATCCTAGTATGTTAACAAAGAAGTTTGAATCAATACATTTTGAATTTAGGAGTAAAGTCCAGAGTCTATATCTTAACAAATCATGTTCATGTTTTGATGGACAACATAAACAGTAGAGATAAAAAGGTTCAAATATTTTATTGACAATAGATCTAAAACAAATTAAAAAATGTTAATATTTATTTATGTAGCAAACATGTTTTATTTTGAAAGATGTGGAAATTAAGATAAAATCAAGAGGTGCATTTGAAGTACTTTGAAAAATATGGATATCTAGTGTTAGTGGCATTTAAGTTTTGCATAAAATCGGCTCTTCTGTAGGGCTATGAAACTTGGCTTATTATGAAAGTTCTTAAAAGTAAGTTGTTAATATTTGCTAACATTTTTCTTTGTCAAGGTTTGGATAATATTTGATCATTATGGCTTGTTAATGAGTATCTAGCATCTAATTATTTGTTTCCTTCATAAAATTTGACTTATAGCCCTTCACTGACACTAAATTTTCTCCCCCATGTGGTTTATTTTCTGATTTGATATATTTTGTTGGTCATAATGCATCAAGATTGATTCTGATGTCTCATATTTAGATATATTTCTGCCCATGATTTTCCATGCAGCAAAAGGGTGGTTCACCATATTCGAACAATTTCTTGGACTTTTCTATTCATTGTCACATACCAAAACAGTCTCTGTGTTAATAGTCTTGGACACTTGATTTTACTGTCATAGAGAATGTGGATTTAAATTATTTTTTTTAACTTATGTTTAAGTTTAACACCCCTTATGTTGTACCCTTCTTTGCAGCTGTAGGGTATTTGGGTTTTAATAACTTATTTAAGTCATTAGTTTAATATATAGCTTAAAATAATTATTGAGAAAATGGTTCCCTTACATGAGGCACAAATCATATCAATCACAAAAATCAAAAAACCACCCTCAAGATCATGACCTCCTTGACAAAAATTTGTGGGGATCAGCCACTGAAAGGTGCAAAAATCTAAATCCTATATTAAAATTACCCTCAAGACCCATGACCCCCCTGACAAAAATTTCTGGATTCGCCACTGGTATTTATTGGTCTTATATGAGTACTGGACTTGATTCTTGATTTCATCTCACATTTAATGTGTAGGTTATGCTACACTTATGATTAAGACAAAGAAATATAAATGCAAAATACAAAAATTTTGAATTTTGAACATTTTTTTTGTAATTCGAAAATTTAATGCAATACAAAATTTAATTTAAATAACATATACTGAGTATACTAACACAATAAAAGTACAAAAAACTGACATAAATAACAGAAAAAATAGTAAACAATATCAAAATAGAAGGTGTAACTTGGAACACTATGAAAGCCATTTTTAATGGACTTTTGTAATCTAACTATAAACTCCTGGACAAAATTAACTCACCACTTTAATTAATCTAAATATTTGCAATATGAACACAAAATAAAATAAAAGTTACATTGAAATAATAATAAACACCTACAAATAAGTCCAACATGACTTTATCATGACCTTGATTTGCCTTATTGTTTCTTTAAAAATTTGTTTTAGCCGGAAATGTGTAAATAAGCTAGCATAACTCCAAATTGCAAAAAGAAAAAAATCGGTAAAGTAACTTAATGAAATGTATCTGGGTAAACACTAATACTGTGTAGGCCCTCCTCTACTTCTTATGACTGCATTTATGCGTCGAGGCATACATGATATCAAATGTTCAACAGAAGCTTGTGGAATATTCTCCCATTCTTCAATAACGGCCTCAATGAGTTGGTTGTGATTGACAATAGGGGGTCCATGACTTTGAAATCTTTTGTTTTTTTAGAACGTCTCATAGATGCTCTATAGGATTCATGTCCAGACTGTTTGGAGCTACTCTAATAATGGAATATCAACATCATTTATCAACATAATAACGCATTCATAGAACTCAAACATATGGGGACCAACTCTGTACAAGCTTCAAAACAAATTCTCCCCCCCAAAACATTTTAGAGCCACCACAAAAAGGTCCTTTAGGAGAGATATTGCTGCTGGCAAACATGCTAATGACCATCTGGAGCTTTTAGGCTTACTCTAGTCTCATCAGAGAAAAGAACTTGTTTCCAATCATTGATAGTCCAATTTTGCAAAATTCAATCTCTGAATCCTGTGTTCTCTGTTAAGTAAGGGTTTTTTGGCCAGTTTCCTGTTGCTCATTTCTACTTCATATATAAATGTCTTCTAACTGTTTGAGACGATATCAAGACATTTCGAACATCTGCTAGTTTATTTTTTAGCAAATTGCTGATGACTCTCCTATCTCTGAGAGCACATTGTCTCAAAAAAACGATCATCAATTTGATTAGTGCAACACAACAATGGTTTAAACATCAATTATCACATTTATTGGAAATATATAGATTCAAAAATCATCCACAATTAATATAAACTAACAGTAACATTGTAGAAGGTTGGTTCTGTTTATTGTTAAGCAGTTACGAGAGAATAATAAATACATATTTTTATTCATAAATGCCTCATGTATCAATGCCTAATGTATCTTGTGCCTTGTTTGTACTATACCATGTTTTGTTTTATAAATGTAAACTCATTTGAAAAACAATAAACTTTTCTCTCTTAAATATAGGTAACTAGATATCATCAATCGAAATGCATTTAGCATGATTTCACAAATCCCAATTAACTGTAATCTGTTTAAAAAACTGACGATTTACACAAAAAGCTTCATTGAAATCAGTGTAAATTAAGTATAAGTTGGAACAAATATCATGCTGATAGATATAACTAAAATACAATAAAACTTACCCATCAAGTTCTTGCAATTGACATATTTTATTCAAAATATGGCTGGATAAATGTGGGTTTTCATTTGCCAAAATTATAAATGGATGTTGTGGAGAATGTAGATTAAAATAACTTTCTTTATTAGTCATTTGAAGATACAACAATTCTCCTAATGTATTAATTAGAGTAGAATGACATCTATAACAAAAAAGCACAATTGATCATTTAAAAATAAGACAAACTTTTGTTGGTAGTGGTTTTATTAAGATTCTTTGGTTTTTGAATAATAAACAAAGTAAAATATGAATGTTGTATTAAATTTATTCAGAACCTGAATAAATACACTACCAATTGTATACAAATACAAGTGCTGTGAAATAACATGTAACTTAAATGTAAATATATTTAATTTCTTAAAACTCACTGAATAGATTTCATAGTACTAATAAAATCGGTTATAACAGAATCAACAGGTAATATATTATCCTTAATTAGTTGTATTATTGCAGCTCCAGCAACCTCACTAATGAGAGGATCAGGGTTCATTAATTTTTCTTTTAAAAATTTAACTTCTGGAAATTCCCTTGTCCCATTTTCATGTTTTTTCTTAACATTGCTAATAATTTTTGATATTAGGGTCGCTACATTAATGGGATTATTGGAATATAATTTATTTTCTATTTCTTCCATTGTATTACTGAATAGTCATGTAAAAATTAGGGTGAATTATTTTTAAAATATGTGTTTGAATATTTCAAAATATTTGAAATAAACATAACCCTTCCAATTTATACCATATGAAATTTTTGACAGATCCATGACAGATCTATTTGTAATTTAAAATTAGATTTAAGAAGCATAAAATAAGAAATTTAGTAAAGAACCCATTTTTTCTTTATGACACTTTGAATATAGCTGTCCATTAATGAACACATTATAAATAATTAATTTTAAATAAGAAGAATTGGATTTTAAATACAACATTAATAATTAAGAATGTTAATATAATATAAATGGTTTAATCCTAACAGCTTCCGATGTTATGTCATGGGCCATGGGCCACAAACGTAGACAAATGTAATTGGTTACTTTAATCCTGCAACTATACTACTATTGGATAATTTTTAAAACTTTAATTGAGACCGACCAGTAAAAATAAAGCAAATATGAATATGACATTTCAGAGCAGAGTAACAAGTAACTGTCAGTGTCAGAATTTTTATCAATTTGTTAATGTTTTAGTGTTTTTAATATTTTTATATTAAAAAAGTATTGAATTTTAGATATGGGTTTATCTAGACAAGAAGTAAATTTAAGAAGATTGTTAGCAAAATGTGAATTAATGTGTAAGACTAAAAAAGACGACGATAAAATAGAAAAATATGTAGAAACATTAGAAGATATGTTACAAGAAGTAAAAAAACTGACTGAGTAAGTTAACTGTATATTAAAAATATTATGGAACCTATTTAAAAAAATTGTTTTTAGTTCCAGTGAAAGTATACAAAGTTACAATAAGAGAATAAAAGATATTAAAGCAGCTTTAGGAATAACCAAAAATAAATATATTGATGAAAATGATATAGCATCTATGAGGAACGATCTTCTAGGTAATTTTTTACTTCTCGTAATATTGCAATGGTGCTAATTTATTATACGTAATATATTAATTGTAGGTGTAAGGCAAAGATTTGTAGATAAAAATGAAACTACCAAGGCGGATGATTTTGACCAAGTTATAGAATTCCATGAAAATATGCAAAGAAAAATTACAGAAGATATGTTACACTTAACTAAAACATTAAAGGAACAATCTGAGACAGCTAATAAGATTATTAAAAAAGACACTGAAGTAAGGGAAACATTGGTTTTTATATTATTCCTATATAGGTTTGGAACCTAATTAGTACTATCATGTTGGATGTTTGTAAGAGTTTTAACATTTTTCCACATTGTCCTTTATGTAAAAATTTTTAAATACTTACTCTCAAAAATACAGTTATAATATTTATCAGTTACAACTATAATATTATCGTCACTCTCCTCCACCCATTTTAAAGTATTGTATAAAGATTTTGAATACCCTTTTTTCACAATGAGTATGTGCAATAAATTAACTCTAATGTTTTGTTTGTCTCCATCTTGTTCATATTTACAACTCATATTTCAGTAATGTTAAACCCTAATGTTTTTACACATTTACATAAGTATATTTTGCAGGTAGTTTCCAAGTCATCAGAACTAACAGACAAGAATTTTGATAAATTATCAATAGAATCTTCAAAATTAGCTGAACATTCCAAAAGAGCTTGGAAGTGCTGGATGTGGATAATGCTGGCTTTGGTTGTTGCAGTTTTTATAAGTAAGTTCTGTAGTTTAAAAAATATGGAAATAAAGATAAAGCTACTTAAGGCAAATTTTAATTTACTCGAAACATTTATAAAGTCAATTTTCTATTTTTTCTACTTTTTTAAGTATAAACTATTTGGATAAGAATATTTTAAACAATTTATGTCACTGTAAAGAGTTGATCAATAGTAGATATATTTTGCTTGACCCCTTTTGCTAGGTAATTTGTAATCTGTTTTATTAAATGTTTTCTCCTTGCTTGATAGTTCTGCTGGTATTTTATCTATTCTGGGCACTTATTTACTTTTTTGTATTTGAATTGCCATTTGAACCTCATCTTAAAGGTCTAATTAGTTAATTTCTTTTTCATCTTCCATCAGTTCTTGTTGTATTTCAATATTAGATAATAATACAGTATATTCTAGAATATACTGTGCTGGTACAGCAAGAATTCCCAATCTTTTATGAGCCATTCTCTAAATCCTAAACCAGCAAGGACAATCATTGCCTTTCTCTGCAGACAAAATACTCTATGAATGTCAGCTGCATGGCCCAGACAAAGAGATGAAAGATGTGAGTGGAATAGGGAGTGATACGTAGTACATATAATCTCCAGTGAGACGGATTTTGAAAGGTTTCTGAGAATAAAGTCTTTTATTTAGTTTTTGAATAAGTTATTAATATGTAGGTTTCACTGTAGAGAAAAGACCTCATAAAAATCCAATCTCACTGATTCCAGCATTCATATCACCTACATCTCTCATTGCAAAAATCACTTGTTTAGTTTTATTGCTGTTGAGAACCAACCTATTTGCAGCAAACTATTGCTCAGTCATCTGTTGTGCCATCATAGAACCCTCCAGCTCATCTTCAAAGTTTAAACAATTCTGTTATATATTATAGATTCATCTAAAAGCTAAATAATTAGTTAAAAGTATGAAACCTCCTCAGTTTCCTTGCCTTTGCCATTTCTGTGGATTATTAACAACATTTTAAATATATTTTTTTTATTTTTTCAGATATGGTGCTTTTATGAAGGTTATGAAGAAAAAGTACTGAACTGGAAATTGTTTGTTGTTATTATTTATTTACATATTTTTTAATAAATTATTAAACTTTTATCCAATTTCTATAATTTCAAATTTCGAGATTAAATATATTTATAGTCAATTACTCATAATCTTAACATTTGTGTAAAAATAAACTGATACAATGGAGTTTTGAGGGCTCCGAAATAATTGTTGAGCATAATGCAAGCCTTTACCAAACTTCTAATAATTTCGTGTCTTTGAAACATATGGTGATCTTTTTCACCTAACTTTCGTGACCTTTGAAACTTTAATTCCAAATTAAATGGAAATATGTTTTGTACCAAGTGGAACATACCACCAAAAAGCAGTGGCGGCCGGTCGGCACTGCCGATCCACACCTTTAGAGATATTATACCTTTTTTTAATATTTAATTTAATCAGTATTTCTATAATTATCTGTGAGATAATAAAGACTAAATTTTATTCATGGTTTTTAAAAGAATTCGTCCAATCTGAGCGTTAAGTGATCCCTACGTAAGACACTTTTCAAATTAATGATCCGAAATCGGAGACATATATCCGCCTGTGTGAATTCTTAAAAAGACACGTTTCAGGGTTTCGGCAAGCCGATCCCAAGCTTGACGATTTACATGTAAAATCAACGGAATATTAGTTGATGATCTACCAAACATACATTTCTTTCCATATGAATTTAATTACCAAGTACGGCAAATTTAAATTTGCCGATGCTTCATTTGGATTGATGATTGGTCGCGAACTGTACCTTGCGAGCGCGGAATGAAATGTTATTTCGGGATTTATAAGTAGTGAAGTTTAGGATTTATTTTCTAAAGTAATACTGTGATACGTTACGTCTGCCGTAAATAGTTAAAAGCTAAAAGGTTTTTTTGATATATTACACAAACTAACATACTTAAACATACTAACAAATGCAAGCTGTGGGAGAAACTGTAAGTATTGATAAATTTGATATTATGCATATATTTTGCAAAATGGGTTTTCATCTATTCCATACGAAGAACAAATTGTTATTAAAAATTAGGGGCGTCCTTTTGCCTAAAATGTACCGGCTTATAAATATTAGTGCAGGGGGTAAGGGAAGTAATAGATCATTTTCAGATACATGCCATACGATATTATTATTAACATTAATCACTTAAACTCACATTTTGTACATTTAGGGAAAGGCAATCTTGGAATTCAGCGATACAAGGCAGTTTTGTCAAAAATATGATAATTACTTTCCTATTTGAATTCCAAAATAGGATTAGAATAGAAATATAATTCATAAAGGAAAAACCATATATCAATTCCACATAGTTCTACAAGCCAATAGTTGCATTGTGTTGTATATTTGACTTCACTGTACCTCAATATAATAAAATCTCTTGTGCATAATCCCAGTTCATACTTTATCACGCCAATACTTCTCGTGAAGTTAATCAGCTTCTACTGAATGTTTCTTTTCTTCTAGGGTAAGAATCACCTCTTCTAGGAACTTCAGCCATTTGCAGACCAATGCTATACAGTCTCTTTTTTATTTCGGCTGAAACTACAGTTCTATGTCTGATTTGTCCATCGTGTTCCCGTGATACCTCAAAGATCAGTGCCCGATTAGAAGACCTCTTGCCAGTTTAACGTTTTGTGCTTATTCCGAGCAAGTACTCTCAAGTTTGAGGCGAGAGTTCATCACAGGTGTACATCTAGCAATGGCTAGATATGCAGGATACATTTTTCTATATATTTCTTACTTAATTTCCATTAGATCCGACGGTTTGATAGGATAATAAGAGTAAAAAATTCAAAATATTTGTATTAAATATATTTATATAAAAATATAACTAGATAAAAATCGTTATCACAATATCTTCAAATTAAGCTTGAGTTCAAATCTGCCCTATATTTACTAAAATATCTATTAAAATCGAGCTGTGAAAGTAACTGTAGCAAATGTTGTCCGCTGGCTTTTTCGTGTAACTTTTGAAGTATAAATAACAGCGATTCTATAACTACATCGCTTTGACTTTGGAAGGATTCCAGCTCTTCGAGTTCAACATCTGCCAACTCAGAATCCCAAGTGTTAGCGACTAAGCAAAAACGATCGCATAATTCCAGTAGTTTGATAATGATGTTGTATACCTGCAAAAAGTAAAAATTTGATAAAATTAAGACCGACATTAATTTAGAAATGTCAGAGATTAGCTATGCATTAGTGTGGTACATGAAAGGTAGTCCTAATATATTTTGGGGGAATAAGGGTAATATTGGAGATATTGAAATTGAAATACTTAAGAAAGTCTTAATAAGTTCAAGACAAAATAACAAAATATATATAAATACTGCCAATTAGATCTACTTTGACATAAATATTTAACATTATAAGGTTTCCAGAAAGAAGCTGTAAAAAAAACAGAAAAGTTCAAAATTAATGCATAAAATTCATAACAAATTGCCTAATATTAAATAACCTTAAGTCTAAGAGAGTTATATCCGGTGAACGGAGATGGCCATTCCAGAAAACATCTACCTACCCATCGATTTGGAATATTTCATTAAAATAATGTTGTTACGCATTCCAAAACCTGGAAAAGAAATCGACGAACAAGGGGATTTTAGTTAGACCAATATGTCTACTAAATACTAATACAATAGAAATACTAATACTAAACAGACTTGAAAAAGGAGTAACAGAAAAAAGGATTATATTTACACGCCAATAAGAGTTTATTAAAGGGAAATATGCAATAGACGCAGTTGGGAGAGTAATGAAAATAGCAGTCACATGTAGAAATAGGTGATTGGTGGTCTTCTTTCTAGATATCAAGAATGTTTTTAATTGTGAAAGCTGCAAAATAATAATAAATATATTAATAAACTTGGAAGTATCTCCATACCTTCAAAGTTTAGAAAAAGGAATATTTCACAATAAGACAAACAAGCATAGCAAAGGGCATTCTAATGGAGACATCGACGGGTGTGCCACAGGCCTCAAGATCTAGGAGAGGAGATACAGACCGTGGCATCCGCAGACGACTTGGTAGTACTTGCAGAACACAACGATAATTGGTTGATCATGAACTCGGCAAATGATGTACTAAAGGATATAAGGTTTGGTTAAACAACAGAGATCTAACATTAGCTACACAACAGGCAGAAGTAATCATACTTAAAAGTCCGAGAGACAGGTATCATATTATCTCCTTCGAGTTGGAACGAGAAATATTTTCAGTAAAAAAGGGGAAATATTTAGGATTTGCGCTTGATTGTAAGTGAATACTTGGTGAACATGTCAAATATGTGGCCAATAAGGCTGATCAAACAACTGTGGCACTAGCAAGAGTTATGCCTAACATAGGAGGACCTAGTTCAGGAAAAAGACGAATCCTCATGAAAGTGGCCCATTTGACAGTTTTATATGCTGCACCAATCTGGCATCAAGTACTAAACACACAACAGAATAAATTAATATTAGAACAAACAAGACGGCCTCAACTGTAGTTTTACAGATCATAGCGGAAATATCACTAGTACACATGCAGGCAAAAAAAATCGAAAACATACAAGAAAATTACAGCAGAAGAAGGGCGACAAGAAAAATGAGAAAATGAACGGATACGTCACGGGAGTGTTTATCCGGATGTGGAGAGGATTAATTGCAATTACAAGAGCAAGAACTACTTCCTTACATAATTCCTAAATGGCATGGATCGATCAGAGCCTATCTCGAAAGAATAGGCAAAGCAACGGATGGTAACTGTGCGGACTGTCGCCGAAATGTACGCAAAATTAGACACATTCAGAGTGCAAGAAATAATGACCGTTATGGGAAGGGAAAAGAACGATTTTAAGGATGTTTTGAACGAAATAACAAAAAATATAAAAAAGAAATAAATCCTAGAAAGAGGAAGACAGCAGGAACAAAGATCTCTTGCGATTTTTCGATCTGTCCCTCTCTAGCGCATTGAAATTACTCACTCTCTGCCTCCAAAAAGAGACGCTCCTATACTTACTTGATAGAAGACAAAGACACAAAGAACAACGAAAAAAAAAGATGGTGTTGTCACTTAGCTCTACAGACTGCTCAGTCTATGTTAATATATTCGTCTATGATAAAACTATATACAGATTGAACCAAATTAAAACGGAACATACAACTTAATACATGTCTGTTTGAACTGCATTTGAAATAGTGGACCAATATAAAACTTGGACAAAAATAAATCCATACCTGGGTATAGACATTGTATAAAATATCGTTCAACTATTTGTCTCGCAACAAAGTTGTTTGCGTAAGACGGGTTTGTCTAAGGGAGCGATAATAGTTCAGGAAATGAAGCTCCAAAAAAGTTAAAACCTCGCAATTTTTTCGTCCTGCATGTATCCAGTTGAAATTTTAAATGAAGGTAGGTGATAGCCCAAGGATCAAAATCGATATCGAACCGAAGTCCGCTGAAGAGTTTTAGGGGTGAAAACTACCCCTAATTGTCAAAAATTATAAAATAACATATTAAACCTGAATATGAGTAAGATTTGGTTTGAATTAGTTAAATAATGATTATTTTATACTTTTGAATAGAGTTCCATCATATTTCAACCCTTAAAAAGCAACCCTTGTTAGAGATTAATGTAAAAAAATTACTAATTCTAAAAAAATGATTTCGCATTGGATCGATTTGGATAAAAATTTGGATTTAAGCTCAATTCACCCGCTGCTTTATAGTTTATGTCATGTCGACAAACTCTGATTGTTCTTAGGGGTGAAAACTACCCCTAATTGTCAAAAATTATAAAATAACATATTAAACCTGAATATGGGTAAAATTTGGTTTGAATTAATTAAATAATGATAGTTTCGTGCTTTTGAATAAAGTTCCATCATATTTCAACCCTTAAAAAGCGACCCTTATTAGAGATTAATATAAAAAAATTAGTAATGCGAAGAAAATGATTTCACCTTGGAACGATTTGCATAAAAATTTGGAATTAAGCTCAACTCACCCTCTGCTTTATAGTTTATGTCATGCCGATGAACCCTGATTGTTCTTAGGGTGAAAACTACCCCTAATTTTCAAAAATTGTAAAATAATATTACAAATCTTAAGATGAGTGAAATTTGGTTTGGATTAGTTAAATAGTGATTTTTTATACTTTAAAATACAAATTCATACATTTTCAACCCTTAAAAATCAATTGTTATGAGTGCTATAGGTGAAAACAATTTTTTGCCAAAATTTTGCAACTTTTCAGCTTTTCAAAATCACCCTTTACAACATTGCAGTTTTTATAAACTATTTTATAAGATATAAATTGAAAAAAGTAAAATTAAATACAAAAAAATTTATCAACATAAAAAGGCACCATATATTCTTATACATTTACATAAATAGTTGAAAATATTTACATTTATAGGTAAAACAATTATAATATTAATTTTATTCGTCATCAATTACATCTTCATCGTGATCTATGTCATCCTCATCTTCTTCAATTATTGGTGGACTGTTATTGCACCCTTCACCTGAGCACCCAGAACAAGTAGAGTTACAGTATAAACCAACTTTTCTGCACCCACATGAAACGCCGCATCCTTTTTTGCATTGGCAAAAAATAATTTTCAAAAGTTCATCGGGTGCAGGTTGTTTGTTCATGCGTACGGGTAATAACAAACCATCTTTGGAATACCATCCCCAATCTGTTGCTCTGATATTTTCATTGTCAAGCCATAGACATATGAGCAGATGTTTTATTCTGTTGTATGGGATTTCAAAATAAGAACGCTTACAATTTCGAATGTATAACGCCCCACTAGCTAATATACCGGTTTTGTAGATTATTATGCTCCGAAATGTACTGTACTATACTAATGGAATTTTCCGGATAAAAATTAACTGGTTTTTTTAACGTATTTCCTTTAATTTTTAACGATAGAGTGTTTCTTCAAAAACGATTTGTAGAGGTTTTTAAGAGCTACAAGGATCTGTGAATTAAATCTTTTTGGAACGCTTGGTTTTTAAATGGGGTGAGTTTAAAGGGCTCGAAAAAGATGGTGCTTGATCGTAAATCGATGCTTTAAACGGCTATATCTCGCCAAATATTCATTGTACAACAAATCTAAATAAAGGATAATTTTAGTCATTAAAAAAGCTACAATTTGGTAATTTTATTTTTTTCATATATTCAGTATTTTCGGGCATATTTAAAAAAAGAAGGGTAAAAAATATGAAATTGTAAATCGTTTCTCGCTTTAAGCTGTACTTTTTCTAAAACTAAGCATTTTAAATGGGTCAAACTTCCTGTACGTATTAACAATACATGTACAAAGGGAATTGCAGAAGGGTGAAGATCGATTTTGAATTATGGGGGTGGTTAGGGGGTTGTTTTCATCGATTTTTCGTAAAAAATGAGGTATTGACCTTATTTTATCATAACTCACTCAAGTTTTGAGCTAGAGTCTTTTTTTATGATAGTTCTATTTATGCTCTTTAAAAAAGGTTATGTTTTCTTCCAAAAATGCATCATTTTCCCGATATTTGACTTTGAATCTTTCAAATTTGGCATTTGAAGAAAACCGCTGAACATTGATAGGCCGTATTTCGGTTCCTATTATATCGCAAAAACATTTTAAAAAATGAATTGTATTTGTCTTTTTAAAAGCTACAAATTTGTTCTCTACAATTTTTTTGATAAAATGCACCATTTTCGAGTTATTCGCGAAAAAATCGATTAAAAACGTGGATTTTTTCGTCTAAAAGTTGTTACTTTCAATCGCGAATAACTTGAAAAATATCATTTTATAAAAAAAATGTATAGCACATTTTTTGTTTAGAATCACTTTTTTAATCGAAACCTGTAGTTAAAACGTAAAAAAAAATTTCACCCCGGAGATGGGGTGGCAACACCCCCTAGGCTTTGGCGCACTTTGGTTCGATATAGATTTTGATCCTTAGGCTAATACCTACCTTCTGTTAAATTTCAAGTCAATCTACGCAGCACGAAAAAATTGCGAGGTGAAATACTTCATTTCCTGGACTATAACTGGTTTGACAGCATAATAAAATCGTAGATTTATGTGTAGCTTTCAAATTTTATGAGTTCAGAATCCAGCAGCCCGCTGAAGTATTGGATTTTTTATAATATAATTATTTGACAATCTTTTGTTGGCCAACCACCTACAACAGAATTGAGCCGAAATACATTATATTCCTATGTTCCGAATTTATTTCGTTCAATCTGTATATACTTAAACGTCTAGCTTAGTCAGGGATAAGTATCTAAGAGAAGTATGTTAATTTATATTAGAGTATTGCTGAGGAGGATCTAATCCAAATAATAAACAAGTTGGACCCCATAGCAGAGAATATTGTCTTATTCTGAACAACTAATTTGATATAATAACAACTATATTGAAAAACTCTGCAATAATCCAGTAAAATAAACTGAAACTATTAAACTCATTATTGTTTAGTGTGATATTTGTAGTAATGTAACAGTTTTGTTGTTTAAGCACGTTATTAGAAAAACGAGGAAAGTTAATCCGCTTTGGTTAATAAGAAAGTTTAATTTGTTATATATTTAAAAAATGTAGGTACTTTTTTTAAGTATTATCGATAGATCTTACCCTACTGGGAATATCGTACTGGACATCAGGAACTTGATACAGACTTCGTTTGTTTTGACAAGTGCGTTCCTAAAATGTTACATAATTAATACCTGGTTAATGCATAATTAAAGTATTTTTTTGCAGGTATGAAAAATATATTAACCAGATCTAACCAATTTCTCTTCCATTCGCATTCCAATTTTTAGTTTGGTAATAATCAGTTAAGCTTTAAATAATAATGTCATAAAGCAATCTTTCAAGTAATTCATTGGATCACTAATGTTGTCACTCTAACCTTCATTTCAATTATAAACATACATACGGTGTAGCTAAAAGTTTATGGTCGGTATAGAGAATTTAATAGGATATCTAACACAGATATAAAATCATATTTTCAGCGAATAGACAAATATAACAATCATATTTCCCCTTGGTCTCCCCTCCACATTCCTCACGCATGCCATTAGTGAACGCCAGACGATTATTTCCGATCCAGCTTATACGTAAGAAACAGCGGCAGGGTTGCCTGATTACATATTTGAATTAAAACATTGAATTGATTTCAAAAATTGGAGATCAATGGCGCGGTTATATTGCCATTCAAAACTGGATGAGTTTGAATGGCAATACTGAACAAGTCACTACCTTCTTGAATTTTACGAAAGCTTGTCGAGCTTGCTCAATGCGACATTTTACTTCCCTGTCCGATGCCCAGTCTTCAAAAAGCCACGATCTCAGGTATTTAAATTTACTCACTCTTTCAATGGACTTATTATTCAGTATTATGGTGGAGTTTTCAAGTGCATACAAGTTTCTGGAGATGGATCATAAATTTGTTTTTTTTTGGTATTAATCTCTAATCCCATTCGCTTACTGTATTCTCCGATTATAGTGACAAGTTGTTGAAGATCGACTATGTTGTCACAAATTAAGACACCATCATCAGCATATCGTATGTTGTTGATCAATACTCCATTCACTTTGATTCCCATCTTTGCATCCTCCAAAGACTCTTGAAATATGGCTTCCGAATAAATGTTAAATAAAAGAGGGGAGAGCACACATCCATGTCGAACGCCCCTTCATATATGTATGGGTTTGGATATAGAATTGTCTATTTTTAACTGTGCCGTTTGATGCCAGTACAAGTTTTCAATGCATCTTATGTCTTTTTGGTCTATATCAACTTTCTTGAGGATCTGTATTAACTTGTGGTGTTGGACACGATCAAACGCTTTTTGGTAATCCCAATATAATTCAATCATCTAATAAGCTTGGCATTTTGTTTAATTTTCTACAAAATCCTATCATTCCTTTTTCGTAACAAAAATTTCCTGGTAATTGATATTTCACTACCTTTTCTATCTTCATCAACCATTTACTAGCCAAGACCACATTTGGCATAAACAGTTTCCGTACCTACGAACGTACAGCCAATGCTTTCGTTTCCGCATTCTGCCAGTCGAAGGCATGTGCCTTGTGATTTATTTGAATACGGCAAACACCAATTGTGGTGAGGTGCATGAAATGATGTATTTGATGCAATGACATATCTGCGTGGTGTTAACTACAGTTAAACGTTAGATTAACTTTGCTTTAAATATGCTTTTCGACAGACTTGCGCAAGCCATTTCCATGATTTACTTAACCAATATCGTTAATATGAGCCCCTTTAAAACCATCGGGGCGAATCTTCGCCATAATTAAGGTTTGATGTACATGAAGAACTTTTTTACGCTTCTTGTTATAATCTTACCAATTTGCGACGACTATTTTTTAAAATAAACACAATAAGCATCAGTTTTCAGCTATTTTAAAAAATAGTGCAATCTTGTAATATGTATTTAAACCCCTTCCTTACTAATTTGTATGATTTCTTACCTGATTCTGCGTTGAAACAAAAGTTTTTGCCAACAAGCCAGAAATAAATTCATGATGAACTTTGATTATGTCTTCGAACCCATTGGCGTTTTCAACGGCTTTCAGTAGAAGGGAAAAGTGAGCCTCTATAACGTCCACTTGTAAATAATACTGGAGGTTATTGACCAAGAACATTAGGTTCTGACGTAGGGTCCAAACTCGCCTATCGCTGAAAAATAAATAAACATTCATTTTCCAGAAATTTTCTGTGTATGGTAGACACCAAACATATTGCCCATTGACAGTCGGACTATCCTGATGCTTATTTGCGAAATATATAGCTTCTTCTCTATGTTGCGGAGCAAATATACGGAAAGATGGTAGAGAAGCTGAAGGAGCAGCATCCGAGTTAGATGCACGTAGATGTGTAGAAAGACAGATATCGATGGATAATTTTTTGGATTGTGGACTTAAAACAAGAGTTTCTTGGCAATGGAAAAAGTGCTTTTGAGGTTTTCAGCTACAGAAATAGAAATGGTCCGAAGGATGGGAGACTTAATAACAGAATTTGTTGGGGCAAAACAACAACAATTGATACAAAAATTAAATTATCTTATATTTAGTGACTTTTGATAACAGTTAACATATTTACTACTTACATTTTTCTTTTTTCTGATACCTGATCTGCCCAGAGTTTATGCAAATCAATTTGAGTTTTTCGTAGTTTCAATAAATAACAAAATAATTTGTTGTATAGTTCCATAACTTTTGGATGAAAAACTATGTGGAGCGGCCAGTCTATTTCAAAATTTAGTTGCAGTCTAGACCACGGGTTCGTACCTTAAATTATAATAATTATTAATAAATTAAGCATTTTAAAACAAACAAAAAAGAAAATAAGGATGTAGAACCACAATAAATGTATCTTTTTATAATTGAAATCGAAGGAGGCTAGTCGTAAATCTTATCTGTAGTCTAAACTTGCATTAGATATTATGTGTTTTCTAGCTGAATAAGTTTTCAACTTATTTTAAAGTAGTACATACCTTAGGAAGAAAAGTAATTTCTAGATTTTGCGAGTCTATCACGTAGCATGTTGAAAATTCCTAATATTCAAGTAGTAAAAATTTTCTAGCACGCCCCTGGGCAAAGTAAAAATATTTCGCCGATTCTCTGTTTATATTGTGATGTAAAGGAAAACGTGTTTGAGACGCATTCAAGAAACTGTGTAAATAATTCATATATTACGTGTTAGTTCTACAATTTTAAAAGCTGGGAATGATTCAAGATCAAATGGTATGAGGCATTAACGCAAACAACTACTGAGTTAGGGAGTAAATTTGGAATTAGTTTTTCCTTTAGCCATTTGCAGTAATTCGTGGCATTCATTTCTAAGTGGTAGTCACCGAATTTACTGCCAGACTTAAATATTAAAAGCGCGTTTGGAATAAATCCCACTTCACCACCAGCATGCACTATTATTAAACGTTGACCCTTCAGAATGTTCATCAGTAACCCTTTACCAGAATTATCATTCCAAGTTTTCGACAAGTATGTCCACTATGTACATATGTCTCATCGAGGTAAACAATGGGTTTTGTTCATGTTTGATAAGCCTAAGTCTTTGATTCTCCAAGCCCTTATTTCCGTCTTTTCAACCAACAATTTTCTCTTGTCCTGTGCTCTCCTCCAACGGAAATTCATATTTTGAAGAATTCTCGTAGCGAGGCTTTTGATACTTTAATGTCCAAATCTCTCTCAATTTTGTTCTTCAATTTATTAACAGTAACACGACAATTCTCTGTTTTATGAAAATCGTGTATTATACGCCGTATATCTGTAATTTGATATTCTGGCGAATCTGTCACAGGTGACTTTCGTAAAGGTTTCTTTGAAGAAAATTCAACTTTGTTTTTATTATCTAGAGACCGTTTGCTCTCTTGTAGTATTCTGGATACGGTCCGTACAGAAATGCCTATAACGACGCAAATATAATCAGCGTATAAGTAAAATGAAAGATGCAGTAAGAGAATATCTGGAGAAAATGGGAGTGAGACAATGGGAAATAGCACAGGACCGACAAACATGGAAGGCAATAGTAAACGCGGCAAATACTCACGACGAGTTGTAACGCCATTGATAATGATGATGACGTAAATAATAACTCAAAATGATTGGTATGTTGCAGGAATAATTCTTCAAATTTTAAACAGACAACATAAAGAAACAAAAAAGTACATTGAGAAGTAACTCAAAGCGATAGTAGAAAATTAAAAAATAAATAAATAAGAACTTTCTACGAAAACAAGAGCCTATGAACTCTTTCTTCACATATGAAAAATGATGACGATCTATTACTAAATGGACTAGCTAGGGGAATAATAACAATTTGTCAAAATTATTTTACAGTAAATGTGGTTGTTATTTTACAAAAAATTGTGGTAAATAAAAATGAAGTAGTAATGGAAACACACCGTGGAATTTTAGATGATCACATAGTAATAGAACTACCTACAGACCAAGAAGTAGTAAACAAAATAACGAAGTAAACTTAATAATAGCTAAAAATAACGACTGTAACGAAAGTGCAGAGAATACGATATTTAGGACACATCGAAGGTATGAAAAAAGAAATATGTCGAAAATGGTATTCTCGACACACCCAATACAAAAGAGAAGCGAAGGTAGGCAAAATGGGGTACAAGAGCAGAGTATAAAAGATTGAAAAATAAGTAACATTGAGAACTAAAAGTAAAAAGTGTTGAAACATTGAATTTGAATATCAAAAATTAATACTAAATGCATTGAAACTCCTTACCTGTTGTCCATTTCAGTTTTCATATTTTTAAAATAATTATACACATTAAATATTATTTGACGACCCTGCTCTTTAATAACGTAACGTTTTTTTTCCGTCCATTTTCAGCAAGATTGTTTGAAAATAAAATTATCTAATATTTAACACACACAACTTGTTCTCAACTGCACTGCTGCGCTACTGAGTATTGAAATGATTTACTGCCAAGGTGTGGCTTGGTAGAAATTTCAAATTTTGACCTCTGCCCAGTGCGATAATATGCAAATTAGATGCCTTCCGAAATGACGGGACCTCTAATCGTATAGAGAAATTGGATTAATTTATTTACCTAGGTTCCAAGATAAAGAAGAATATTAACCCCCACACTAGATGCTCAAGGGACTGGCCTCATTATCGAGAATAAAACGTGTTAGGTTTTGTAGGTATTAAAACATATGTGGCAAAAACGAGAATAATGAAAACAAGGATGGTAAAATATTAGGATGCTTTCAAGGAAAGGTATTCTTTTTTCAATTATTAGATGTTATGATAATCAGTTGCGAAAAATAATACTTACGAGTAACCTCGGAACTGGATGTCAATTCAAATTTCAGATAGGTCTTATCGTTCTCCCCATATATTTTCCTAGCTGTTTCATGGAAGATAAAATTTAAATTTTGCACTATTAAATCCGAAGACGTGTCTTTTAAATGGTCTTCTGCTACCCGTATGAACTGTTGAAATAGTTCTCCTCTACCTAATGCATAGTAGTCCCTAATTAGATGTAAATGTTTAACTAAATTTCCCTCCTCCAACATGATTGACCATAAATACTGAAACATGATAAAAGTAAACGATACATTTTAAAGCGATTTATTGTACTCACGAGATGCCATCATTTCAGTATAAGTTTTATTATATTGGATAATGTCTTTTATTTTTTTTAACTAACCCTTTTTGAGTTTCATTTGAAAAAGATATGTTTTTCATTTCTAATAATTATTTCCCTAGTTACAACTAGCTGTTGTAATGGTTATAATTAAGCACCTCGAAGTGGCGTCCTTTTTAAATTACTAGAGGTGTTTCCTGTTTTCTTTTTGTTTTGTTTGTCCCAAGAGATTCATGACCTTTTGTTTCATATTTTTGTAGTTGCCACAATCCACCCCCTTTGCCATTTACTTATCCACGACCCCAGCTCTCCTAAAAAATCCTGAGTGCCGTTCGCATACGTTTCGATTTATTTTGCTTGCCCTATCTCCACCCCAATAGTTTCTGTCTCCAATGTTCTACACCAGTGGCTCTCAACCTTTTTGTGACGACGGAACACTTTTAATTACCGAAAAAAAATTGCGGAACACCAAAGCAATAACATGCATATATTGATAAACAAATTAGGATTAGCACATAAATTATGTAATAAACTTTATTATACGTACTCAAATTTGTAAAATTTTACTTAAAATATGAAAACAAAAAACATTTTTAAAATTAACAAAAGCGTAATTCTCAAAATACATCATATGAGTAAATACTTCAAATTAGTGAGACACTTGTGCCTGGTGTCGTTTGCAAATTTGCTCAATATCAGGCCTGATGTGGGAAAGAGCTACTCTCATTTCTTGTTCTAAGTTTAGCAGCCTTTCCCGTTTCTTATTTTTAACGTTTGTTAAAGATGAGAACCCAAATTCACATAAATAGGACGTTGAAAACTGTATTAAAATACTAATCGCTTTTTTGGCAAGAAGTGGATATTCCTCTTGGACCAAGATCCAAATTCCTGAACATTCACTTCTGAAAACTCAATTTTCAGAGTACGATCAGGTGACAACGAAATAAATTCTTCTTCTTGGTTCAGAGAAAACTGGAAATTGGCTGTATTACTTGTGCTAAAAGGACTTCTTATCCAGTCATATTTTTCTACGTTCAGAGATGGAAAATACCTGGCAATTGTCTCCTCTAATAGTGATAAGTGTTCTGTAACTATATGCGTGATTTCTTGTTCTTTATCTGCATCACCTTCATTCTGAAGCAGTGGAAACATATCCATTTTATTTACTCTAAAATGCGCTTCTTCCAAAATGACAATTTTTTCTGGAAAGCTGACAGCTTGTCCGTGGATGTTAAAATATTTTCATTTTTGCCTTGCATACTTGAGTTAACGCCATTTAAATAATTAAAAATATCGGCCAAATATGCCACTTTAGCGCACCATGCATCATTTTCAAAATATGTGGTAAATGTGTCATTACCTTCTTCTTGGAAAAAAGTTAACAGCTCCGTTCTAGGTTCATAAATTCGACATAATACTTTGCCCCTGACAACCATCTAACTTCGGTGTGCAGCAACAAACATTCATACTTTGATTCCATTGAGATTCAGAGTTGTTTAAAAAGACGGGTTTTTAGTGGTCTTGATTTGATGTAATTCACGACATTAACCACTTGGTCTAATACAGATTTCAAAGTAGCTGGTAGCGTTTTTGAAATTAGAGATTCTCTATGCAAGAAACAGTGCGTAGATATGATATTTTCATTTCGCTTTTTTGCAAGGGTACAAAAACCTTTTATGGAGCCTACCATGGAAGGGGCACCATCCGTACAAATTCCTACGCAAAAGTCCCATGATATATTTTTTCTCTCTAAATATGACGTTATGGAATCAAATACATCCTGACCTGTTGTACGTGCTGTAAGTTTTCTGCAGCATAAAAACTGATTGACTATTTCACCTTCGTCGACAAATCGAATAAATCCTAATAAATGAGCTTTGCCACTAATATCAGTGGATTCGTCCACCTGCAATGCGAAGTTTTTTTTGTAAAGTTTATTTGTAACTTTTTCCTCAATATCTGCAGATAAATCAACAATCCTCCTTCTTATTGTATCATCCGACATAGGAATTTTCCGTATTTCGTTTTGTGCATCGTTGCCAAACATAATTTTGACCATCTCACAACATGCTGGTAATATAAGAGATTCTGCAACAGTGTGTGGTTTCTGTTTCAAAGCAATTAATTCGGCGACCTTATATGAAGCTATTTGTGCTTTGTCGGAAATTGTTAGCGACCTTTCAAATTGTTTCGCTTGTGTCTCCAAAAGTCGCTTGAAATAATCTTTATTTTTTGAAGCTACACTAGCGTGTTTGGTAGTAAAATGGCGTTTTAATTTAGCCGGAGCCATTGCGCTATTAGCGAGTGTCTGCCCACAAACAATACATTTGGGAATTTGACAGTCTTCTTCCCCAGTCCAAATGAAGCCATAATCCAAATATTCATCCAAATATTGCCGGTTCAACATTTTTTTGCTGCGCTTCGATTTGTCATCAACCCCACTTCGTAAAGTTCCAGTATCTCCGCTGGTGCTCACTTCATCCTCATTAATTATGAGTTGTTCCACAGTAGTTTTTCTTTTAAGTTTGAGGAACTTATCCATTTTAATTTATTCGTCTCTAAACAAAATAATGCGGATGAATGCTTCACATTTTGTATAAAATATGCAATTACTTACCTTTGATAGATAAGCCGTACGTAAACGTTATCATAAAAAAACTGACACAGCGATTTTCACGTATTACGTTTGTGCAATGTAACAAATTCAACATTCAGTTGCAGACTGTGGCGTGGGTGACTCAGATTGGCTGTGGCCACTGCGGAGCTCAGCGCTTATAAAATCCAACGTGTCCACTGTGCCGACGCGGTGTTGTCACGTTGGGCAAATGAACATTTACGCTGCAGAATTTTATTAAATTAAAATGTACGTAAGTGGCTATTTTAAAATTTGAAAATATTTATTTGAAAAGAGTAATTTAGCAAAATAGTATTAGGATTGCGAGTATTTCGCGGAATACTTGGAAGGAATTCGCGGAACACTAGTGTTCCGCGGAACACCGGTTGAGAACCACTGTTCTACACCCATGATCTCACTCTAAAGTAGGCAAAATATTTTCGTAACAAGTAGAAGCCACAATTAGAATGCAGTGTTGGTATTACGGAGCGCAGCACTGCCGCTCATGCCGGCACAGTTGTAGGTTTGAGGTGGTTTGACGATAGACTGAGAAATCAAGACAGTAGAGAGAACGCATATGTGGGCCATTGGCATGAAAAATACACCAGCTCTATATTCAAAAAAGTGCTGGCAGTGCCAGTTAATGGATACATGCAAACCTGTCTTTATTCCAAAGAGATATAAAAAATTCAAATGCCACAAACGAAAAAGCTTTGCAACAATATTTCTAATTGTAGTTCCGAAAATAATTGCATCTTGAAAGTCAAAAATCTTCCTACCTTTGTTAACTTAACCCTACACTCTTCTATTGTCTTCTGGAATTCGATATTATTAAATGATTGGGATTCTAATAACTGCAGCTTTTTATAATATTCGACATCTTGTCCTTCCCAAATATCTCTCTTATATTCTATTTGATAGTTATTGTCACCGGCAGATTTTTTAGGACCATGCCTTATAATCCATACTATTCTACCCATAAACAAAATGCTCTCTGCTAGATCTTCACTGATAAATAACGGTACCATTTGCCAATTTATGAAAAAATTTCTGACTATGGACGGCCTTCTAATTTTGCGTTTCTGAAAAAGATCTCAATTACAGATAAGGCGTAAATAAAGTATATGTGCATACATTGGAAAAACCAAACAATTGTTACATGAAAACACATTGCACATACCAAAAAATAAAATAGAAAATATATCACACGATTGGGAGCAACACACTTATTTTTCTGATACTGAAACGATAATTTTATTTCTTTGTACTTTAAGAGTTTTATGGTCGATGTAAACCAAATATGTTCAAGTACGTTTCATCGGGATATTCTTGACGCCTCTTTTACAACCTACTTTTCCTGGAAGAATACATTTCATTAACTGACACTGTCAATTTAATTTAACTGTATTGCTTGCTATGAAGATTTGAGCGTAAAATACTCCTCAAAATATTTGGAGCTGTAAACGACCAAGGGCAGTGGCGCAGAAGATATAATTTTGAATTGTATCAGCTCTTTGATGAGCCAGATATCATAACGTTCATTAAAACACAGCGACTTAGATGGGCTGGACACATAATACGAATGCCAGAAAATATGATTGCTAAAAAGCTAAACACAGGAACACCTGTAGGAAAAAGAAGCAAAGGCCGACCGCGAATTAGGTGGGTAGATGAAGTGGAAACCGACTTACGAATATTAAAAATCAGAAGATGGCAACATGTTGCCAAAAACCGAACAGAATGGCGACGAATCTTAGAGCAGGCCAAGATCCACAGAGGATTGTCGAGCCAAAGATGATGATGATGATGTATTGCTTGCTATATGTTTACTATACTGCTGCAAATATTCTTCTTGGTTTGCCTGATTTCATTTGTAACCTAAATTCGAATAAATGAAATAAAAATAACAATTTTCCCCAACCTTCCAACTCATAATGTCAAGTCAATATAAGTTAATGAGGGTTGGAATATACTCAGGTAGCTTAATATTAAAGATTCTTTGAGGTGTGCTTTTAATTGAATGATTTATTATCCTAATGAATATCATAGCGGCTTCTTGAATTCTTCGATGTTTGTTTGTGATTGAATTAAAATAATCAGTCTGGTGATGATAATATAACACACACATTGATGACAAATATAGAGAGATGATAGATAGGAAGCCATATGGACAACGAAATAAATGTATAACATATTACTTGGTTTACTCATCTAAAAAAATCGAACAGAAAATAGATGGACCATCAGGTTCTGGAAATGGATACCTATGTACATAAATAAAATAAAAAAATAACGAAAAATAGTTTTCATGCAGTGTCTATTACTTCAATCTGAACCACAATCTTAATATTATTTTAAATACCTGTACACTAAGACTTGTTAAATTTTCAGTGGCTAGTTCAGCCATTTGTTCTGGATATAGGAAATTTTCGTCTGGGTTCTTACCATCTCTAATAAAAAATTCTTCATATGTATCTATCAAGTCTCCATAAATGATCCAATTGCATAAGTGTCTGTAGAAGACAGTATTCATTGATTTAATGATTCTAAAATATAAAAGAAGCCTTGTTATTATGCTTAAGTTTTATGATAAAACTTTTGGCTAAGATTGTCGTATTCATAACTGGACCACATTATGTAATAAAGGATTAAGTGCCAAAATTTAAAATTCCAGATAATATTGCTAGCTAATAGCTAGGGTGCAAGTTCAACCAGCCAAAAAATGATATTAGTTGGTAGTAAGCCAGTCATAACACAAGGACAATGCTGATTGGTAGGAGCAACAGGAGTGGCTATGACTATGAATAATAGATAACAGTTTTACAGAAATAAAAGGAATGCTCCAAGAATGCACAGCTAAATAGGCACCAATAAATCTTAATGTGTCTGTACAGTTATCATATCCATTTTATAAGGCTGAATTCAGACAACACTATAATTAATTGCTAATTTATAGCTAATTTATTGTGGACAGAAAAAAATTATTGTAGTTCTTTCTTTGCTAGATATAACATTACAGTTTCCTAATATACACATTTTATATATAGAGCTATTGTGAAATGTTCATGACTAAATTTTATAGAAAACATAATCTAGATAGTCTCTTTTACTTTGTTATAATATTCACGAATTGACGAATACATTTTGGCATACTTACTCATCTGCTGCTGTGACAATCTGATCCACTCCACAACTAACATATTTATGCAAACGTCCGATCAGTAAGCAACCATGTACATTATCATTCTCAATTATATTAATCATAGAGAGAAGTACTTGAAAAAGAGTTCTATATTTCTCAATTTTGCTGAGGATGAATGTCAGTGGAAGTTGAGGATTCTGCAAGTACATGTCTTCAAGACCAATGATTTCTTTCCTATAGTCATCTAAAACTTTGTAAATGCCAGTACAGAAAGCTATAATGTATAATCCAGTAGGAACATTTTTTTCCGGTAACTGAGTTGTGGTAGCTGAAAAAGTTTATGTATATAATTAATAGGAGTTATGAGGTCAGGCATTAATTGTGGTAAAATTGTGCAAATATAATATCTAAAACAAAATTTAAAAAATGTATGAATCTGTATATAAATACAGTATACTCCCTCTATAACGAACACAGTTATTATGAGGTTTTCGCTTATAACGAGGTACATTAGATGTCCAGTGAAATTTCTATTGAACTATAACCCTTTATAGTGAGGCAAATTTGGTTATAACGAGAGAAAATAAGATCGTAAAACGTGTTTTTTACGTTTTTGTCCCGACTGTGGTTATAAATAAATACCCTTTTTAACTGCCCCGCAAAAAACTCAACTGCCGCCTACAATAAACTTTTTACAATAAATACAAGTATTTCACAGCTTTAGAAAATATAATAGAATGATACTGGACAATTTAAAGCAGTCAAAAATTACAGACTTCTTCCAATTACAAAAGCAATAGTTTATATTATCCTTCAAAATATGCTTTGTACATTATGTAGTTGGAAAAAAATGTAAGTACAGATTTTTTGTTTTAAAGTATATAATTGACAATAAAAGTAAACAACTCCTTTTTATTTTAACATTTTTCATTGTCAATAAAAGTAAACAACTTTTTTTCAAAAACGCCATTCAAACAATATTTATTACCATCTTATATTGCTCCAATTGGCTTCACTATAGAAAGTTAATGTTTTAGAAACCTACATAGTCATATGTATACACAGTATTATTGTTGTCTAATATAACGAGATCAGCTTATAACGAAGTAATTAGTCTGCCATTTTTATATACAGAGAGCTAAACATATTTTTTAATTTCGGCAAAACATGTTTGTGACAAGTTGAGATTTGTACAGAAAAATATTTATTATATTTTATGATGTGGATAATATCTTGTATGATTGGCTATTTGAACTGACTTTGGGAAACATTTTTAGAATAGTTAAAAGGTCACCATCTGTACTAAAACAATTGTGCTACAACAGTTATCATGATCGTTGTGTCAAATGTTATCCTCAATACTGGATATATTAAATCACCTTCAGTCCTCAGTCTACTCTGCATTTTTTTGTAATTCCCTTATTTTGTACATATTTAACTTTTATTTTTGCTGTTCATTCTTTTACTAGTTATACTTATATCTGGAAAATGGGAGTCCAGGCTATTGCTTTTTTGTTTGAGTTTGATCCTAACTACATACAACCTTAAAAAGAAGTTGCTTAGTCCAACTACTACTTTCGTTGACAATTTCAACGATATCTAATCATAAAAAATTGAAGAAATCAATTGGCATATACTCTGTATACCATATAAGTATAAGACTTATGTACACTGTAACATATCACTTACTTTCTGCATTAGGTGTTGGTATTAAAACAATTTTTGTAAATGCTACTATCTTATGATAATCCAAAGCAATCTCGACTATCGTCTGTAAGAGTTTTTGTTCCCCAGGATGTAAAAACTCTTGTAACTCAAAGAGAGAAGTCCACTAAAAAATCAAGCATTAATTTATTTATAAATGATAGAATAATTTACTAGTACATTATACGATTCTGACAAGCTTTCCGAATCTGGATTATTAAAGAGATTAAATAGACACTCATGAATCATTCTTATTTTAGAGTATTGCTTTATAGTCTTTTAATTTTAATAGTGCTCCGATGAATAAATTTCAAAATTTGTTTGATATAATGTCAAAAGTCTTACATGTCAAATGTCACATCATGGATTCTTAAAACACTTAAGAGTTTGGCAACAAGTATTTTCGGTGAAGTTTGGTCACAGAATAATAAACAATCAGAATGTCCACTCTCAGATGCCGCCTTTGAAGTTTTTCAGCACGCGCGCCATGTTTTAGAAGGAAACACATAACACAGACATATGATTTGTGAGGTTATGTAATTGTTTATATTTATGTTTAATTATATTTATGTTATTATATTTAACAATGTTAATATAATTGTATAGTACGTCTATGATTGCCGTAAGTCAATAAACCGGGTTAATTTTTCTATGTACACCACATAAACAACACTGGTTCCCTCTAAAACATGGCGGAACGTCTGCGCGAAGGAGATGCGCGTACTTAATTTTCCATGGCGAGTGGGCATTCTGATTGTTTATTATTCTGTGGTTTGGTTTTATATATTTTTTTTCTGTTATTTTTTTAAAAAATCTGTAAAAGGTATTGACATATATTATAAAATAAATTTTATTTTATCTTTATATGTCTACATAACGTCTACATACTATCACTAATAAAAACATTTTGCAGAATGCCCACTCTCAGATGCCGCCCTTGAAGTGTGTCTGCACAATCAGCACGCGATCGCCATGTTTTAAACGGAACCACAGACTCAGATTGAGAAATTTGTGATAAGCTATAATAGAACCATAATTTAAATTTTTAGAGATTAATAATTCAATAAATTTGAAATAATGTAATCTATTCTTCAACTAAAAGTACGACATAAAATATTGCATATTATGTCTATGGTTACCGGGTTAATTTTTCTATGCACACCAGATAAAATTTCACTGAACAGCTCTGGTTCCGTTTACATGGCTGATTCCGTCTGCGCGAACGAGATGCGCGTACTTATCTTGACAAGCAGAGTGAGCATTCTGATTTTTATTTAATCTGTAGTAGTAGGATCTGATTACCCATATCAAAAGAGAAAGTTAATAAAAGGAAAATAGCAGTGTTAGTAAGTCAGTATCATATCGAGGATAGAAAAAAAATACATCATTTATGTTTTTTAAATAACAAATATATAAAATCAGAATTTGGTGTTTTTTGAGAGTAAACTAAATGTAAGACCAAATACTTACTATGTCGAGATAGTATTATCACAGAATAAATAACAATCAGAATGCCCACTTTCAGATGCCGCCTTTGAAGTGTGTCAGCAAACGATCGCCATATTTTAAACGGAAACAGGGTCGAATTAACAAATTTGTGACAAGCTACGACAGAACTGTAAATTTAAATTTTTAGGGATTAATAATTTATTTAATTTAAACTAATTTAATCTATTCTTCAACTAAAAGTACGAATAAAATAGTGCATATATTATGTCTGTAGTTGCAGTAAATAAATTAAACCGGCTTAATTTTTCTATGCACATCAGATAAAATTTCAGTGAACAGTACTGGTTCCGTTTAAAACATGGCTGATTCTGTCAATAAACTTACTTTAACGATTTAACTTTCAATTGTGGCTTATTCCCAATAAAATAGTAATTACGTGAGAAAACAATTTTAAAATAAACAGAATATATAATTTTTCTTATTTTTGTGCCCCAATGTCTTTTTCGCTCATTTTTGTTATTTTGTGTACGGCATTTTAACTTTCTTTGCAGTGCTCACAATAAGATATTTTTGGGTAAAATGTGAATATATAACCGGTTAAATGTGAATATATATTTATAAAACCGGTTCTAAAGGTAGAACACAGAACAAATTAAAATATTCTAAAAACCATAAAATCAAAATCACAGAACGTTTGGTTGTGATATTGACGTATAGTTAAGGTACGACTGCACGATCAGTAACGCATGCGTATTAGATGTAGATCCAGTGTAAGAGTTTTTATGATTGGTGAACATAACAATAAAATACCGCAAATTGAGGTTAACTTTGTTTAAAGAGACCGCCTTTATCACAATGCTGTATGTGAGTCCGTGTTAGTTTGTGTGATGTTTGTGATAACGGCGTATGGAAGGTTTAAGCAAAAACTACTCATTTAAATATTAACTATTAACATTTTTAAGTTGCTATTACGATGCCAAAGTTCAAGCCATAGAAGCGTTTAAAATACAACATATATAATCTATTATTTTTAAGTAACACCATTTGTTTTGTTCAGTTATTCAAAGAAGTTTGCCTTTTAAATGGTGGAAACTGCATTTGGTTGGGCAAGTTTGAAAATTCTTCCCCAAGGAAATGTCCGACAGCACTATTGATCTCCGGGTAAGTTTTATGGGGTAAGTTTAATGTTACCACTGCATTGATACTAGATTGATCCATACCAATGTTTAAAACTCACCCTGTATTATATAACCCTTCTTTTTGAATGCCTTAAAAAATTGGAGGTGACCCTTTTTCAAAATAAGGGATTCACTTGTATAAATTTCACAGGAGAGGTAAAAAACTTCTTATCTTCATTACTATTAAGAACTTAAGTGTTTTAATGTATTTTTGGTCTAATGATTTACTATACAAACCGAGGAACCGAGAATAGTTTTACAGTCTAGAAAAACATCCAATGTGCGTACCGATTCCTAACTTCCCTAATGTCTAAAAATGCATTACTCCAATGTAACATGTTATTAATTGTTGGACTGAAATAAATCCAAAGTGCGTAAAAAACACATTGGAACTATTATATATTATAATATCTGCACATTGGAGGTATTTCATACTTTCAACTGTCAAATTCCTATCCTCAAATTTTCTCAAATAAACTATTTACCAGTGCAAAATGAGTGTTTTCAAGACAAGAACTAAAAACTTAAGTGTTTTAATGTATTTTTGGTCTAATGATTTACTATACAAACCGAGGAATATTATAAAAAGGTATTTTTTAATTTTAAAAGACATAAAAATTTTTGAAAAAGAGATGACCTGTTTTCAAAATGAACACATAATAAAATGGTCAATATAATATGAATATTGTTTATTAGAAACATTAAACTGCTACATTTAATTTAGAAAAAAAAAATGAAAGGATTTAAAATAAATAAGGATAGTTTAATTGTCTCCTTGTTCCGCTTCTTCAGCACATGGTAGTAGACCATTCACAGATCATGTGTAGAATGGCTTGAGATTATCTGGAATGTTCTAAATGCCTTCAATTTTTTTATGTTTATTGGAATTTTCCCCTGATGGGCAGGAAGATTTTGAGGATCAGGTACAAACATGGGTGAAGTGCCCTTTTGTTGAGGTTTTAAAAGTTAAAAACGTTCTTCAAGAATGCCATCAATGTATGGTTTAACTAACGCCATACCCAAATTATCTGAGGAAAAGCTAAATTCATAATAAGAGGTAATACTGAAACTAACCTTTTCATTTTTTTGAACTTTTTACCAAAGCCTCATGTGGAACTTTTTTTTTAAACTGGCCACCATTTTTTAAAACTAGCTACATCTATGTAAGTAATATGTCTAACAACAACAAGAACAGCTCAGCTGGCCTGTACCAAAGCTTTTGATAAGATTGATCACTCTATACTTGTTGAAAACTAAGCAAATTTTGTGTTGATTCAGAATCATGATGTTTATGCGGTCATATCTTTCTGATAGGTTAAATCAAGTTAGAGTGGGGAACAGTTTATCTAAGCCATTTATGTCAACATCAGGTGTACCACAAGGTAGCAGCTTGGGTCCTCTTCTGTTCGCTATATTTTTTAACAATTTACTTCACTATGTGAAGTTTTTCGACAAACCTGCTTTTTGCAGATGATTTTAAGATTTTTGAAGAAATTTCAACTCTACAGGACTCTGAGATGCAGCAATGTAATCTGAACTCAGTAAGTCAATGGTTCAATGATAACAAAATGTTTCTAAACACTTTTAAATGTCATGTTTTTACTATCACTCAAAAAACACAATCCATGGAGAACCAATACAAAATTTCTAGCACTGTACTTGGAAGAAAGAACACTTGCAACGATCTTGGAGTAATGTTCCAGCAAAATTTTAGATTTAGTGAATATTATCGGATCATCATTAGAAAGGCATACAGAACTCTTGGCTTCATAATTCATAATTCAAAAAATTTTTTTAAACAATCTAAATTTAAAATTTTAAATATCATTATACAATGCACTGGTAAGACCTCACTTGGAGTATGCCTCTATTATATGGGCACCACAAACCAAATTCAATGTTGATCTGATTGAAAAGGTTCAAAATAATTCTTGAGGTTTCTTTATGTCAGAAAGTTTGGTATCTATCCACATGATTTTCTATAATGCTATATTAACTTGTTTTAAAGTTCAGTGACTTTATAATAGAAGAAATTTTCATTCAGCCCTTTTTATTTACTATGTTGTAAATCACATTAAATATAAAAGATTGCTTTTTTTATAAATAATATTAAATTTAATGTTCCAAAAATACCTCTAAGAATTAATAACAAACGACTGTTCTGAACTAATAAGACTGATTGTTCATCCATAAATAAAATGTTAGAAGTGATAATTGTGATAATTAACTGTGATATAGACTTTTTAAATTCTTCTGTGAAATAATTAAAAGTTGGTTTTGAAACAAATTTCTACTCTGCAAAAGTTGTTGTCTTAAAATTTAATTTAGATGTATAGTGTTTTTTACTTGTTTTATTATTTATATTATTTTATTTATATTATTTTATTTATTCTGTCTAGGTTTAGTTTTTAATATTAGTTATTAGTTTTTAGCAGTAGTAAGCACTCTCTTAATGTAATGACAGTCATTTTGTGTTTTAAAGGAGGTTAAATAAATAAATATAAAATTTATTATGACTAGATGAAGACACAATTAAATCTTCATATTCCTCTTCAGAGAAAATCCTGTCATAGCAACAAATTTTTCTTTTAACGGTACCAAAATCTCTTGTTACAATAATTAAATTAGTGGCCTTATTGTGTAAACTAATAGTAATTTTTTGAACTTCTTGGTCATTACTAGGGCCAGAAGATATTGAAGAACAGTATTATTGCAGTTCTGACCTGGACATCTGTCACAAAAGAGATGCAACTCTTTAAAGTTTTCTGTAATTTTGTTGTTTATATAGTGGTTTAAAAAAGAGCAAACTTCATCTGAGCCTCTGTGTCCTTTGCCTTCATGGTAAGAGTAAAAAGTTGCTTGGTTAGTTGTTGAGATTAAATTGAGAACTGTTAAGAAAAATTAAGCAAATCTGCTTAAACTGGCAAAAAAATACTACAATCTTTAATTTTTTATGTATCCTGCAAAACTAAATTCATTCTATGTGCATGATAGTGAGTAAATAAAGCTTGCGGTGCAATACATTTAACTAACAGTACTTTCTAACTAACATTTAACACTAGTTTCATCTACTTCTAGTGAAAAGCAAATGGATTCCTGAATCTCAGATTTAATAACGTTACTCAAAATGTAACTAATTGATTCTATTAATTCTATCTTTGATTGTTTTAGATACACAGCTAAATGTCTTCGAATCAGAAAGTAAATTAGAAAATACCAAATCATATTTCTTAAACATTTTTATTAGTTCTCTATGATTACCTTGATTTAATGAATGCTCCGATTCATTGTATTCTCTAAGTCTAAAGGATAATTCCTGACAACTTAAAAAAATTACAATATTAATTAAACTACATAAAACTTTGTGATTATTTTTTACAATGTCATTATGTTTAATAGCATTTTCATGTTGGGCATTATCTAATCAAATATAGATATTTTGTCTTCCCAATAAATCTAATTTAATCTGGCTGTATGTATGATTTTTCGAAATATCATGTTTCTGTGAAGCCCTAAATAATTCCTTTAAATTATCGTAACCAGATTCACACCACGGATTTTAATGTTTGCCCCTATTTGTTGAAAATAAGATGCAAGGCCAACAGAAAAGTACTGGCTGACCAATTATTCGAAAATAATCTATTATTTCCTTTACCTCCCGCACTAATATTTATAAGCCGGGACATTTTAGGCAAAGGAAGTCCCTTATTTTTAAAATCAATTTGTTCTTCGTGTGGAATAGAATAGATAAAAACCCATTTTGCAAAATATAATTTACAGTATCAGATTTATCAGTACTTAAAGTTGCTACCATAGCCTTGAACTTTTTAGGTTGATTTACCTGAATTTGTTTACACTTTAATTTTATAATAGAAAATACATCAAATATATCAAAAAACCCTTTAATTGTTTACGGCAGCGATAATTTATTACAGTATTACTTTGAAAAATCAAAACAAATCCATCGATACAATAACAGGAAAGCCAGTCAGTGTACTTACTATCACTTCGCTACTTGAGTAAGTACTTATACTTAAGTAACTACTTTGGTAAATACTTATCCGGAAATAACATTTCATCCCGCGCTCGCAAGGCACTTGAAACTTTGCGGCCAATCCAAATGAAGCATCGGCAGATTCAGAACTGCCGTACCTGAGCGAAGATGCAGGTGTGTTTGTCCTTACACCTTGTCCTAATGCCTTTGTTTCGCGCACCAGTCATAGGTCGCTGGTTTTTTCCTTGGGGAACAAGGTTTTTCCTTAGGGAAATAGGTTCACTTTGTATACTTCTTTGAAGGACCACCCAGAAAACTGGGACAAATGAAAGATTCGAAACGAACGTTTTAACAAGTCTATTTAAACAATTACAACGTATTTTGGACGCCGATAACTTGCATACGATAGCTGATTTATGAAACTAAAGTTTATGGAACTAAAAAACTAGATAACTTGTCGGTGATACAATATTGACACAACTTATTAATATCCCAACTATGTTAAACCTTCTGAAGTGCCGCTGGGGCGAGTAGAGCCTAGCGCTCATCCAATACTGGAATTTGAACTGATACTGATCACAGGGTTGCCAGATGATTTTTTTTAATTCCCTAGAATTTTTGCCAAAATTTCCCTAGATTTCCCTAACAACTTGACAACCATATTTAGCCTAGAATGGACCACCTAAGTCTGACGTCACAATGAGCGGGATTTTTAAAAACCTTTCCAAACATTTCTAATTTGAGTTTATTGGTCACATAAGAAGTTGGAAATATTGGTATTTTAATTGTTTGTAGAATAAATAAGGACTTTTGGTTATGAACATTCATTCTGTGCGATTGGTATTATTTGTTGTTCGTGAATTTGTGAGGTAAGAATCCTCCTCAATCTTTTCTCCTTCGTAAGGATATAGTGGTGTCATGTAATTTTTTTAAATATTTTTGTCCAATTATCTCTTTCCTATGCGTGTTGTTTTGCTTCGGAGAATGAA